GGCAGCGCACGAGGCTCGCCGACTGCTGCTGCTCGTCTGCTCCGTTGCTCTTCCTGCTCTTTCATCAGCTCGCTGCTGCTGCTGTTTGGGCCAGCAGTCAAAATCGTATATTGCTGTTCAACTTTATCTTTATGCTGTTGTTGCCAGAGCAACGTCATACCGTCATTGTTTTGTGATTTTGTTATCATGCCGCGTGCGCCATTGTGAAGTGGTGACAATACACTGTATATTCGTGTAGTGTGGTGTGCACTGCAAGGATAAATTTAAATTATTATTTCTGTATTTTGCGCTGGGTCCATTTTGCTTGTGACAGTAAATGGACCCTTTTATTAACCTTACTGGCTGCGCTTTTCTCTTGTGTTTTATTGAACTGTTTGTTTTGTTGCCCCTATGGAAGTCTCTCTTGCCTCCAGCTATATCTGATATTATCTCTACCAACGAAGTGTTAAGCACATTTCTGTTTGTTGGTATCAGCAGCCCTGTTGATGTTGTGATCGCAGTGCAGGGGTCCTATTTCCAACCGAAGGCTCCCCAGGATATTTCTGTCATGGCGCGCCTCTGTTCTTCCTCTTCTTGTCCAAAATATTCTTGCATTACATACACTGGTTTTATTTCTTGGCCGGAATTTAGCTGCAGGATCGCTAATTTTATCTTGAATCGGTTCATAACGCAGCAGCTCCCAGACGTGCTCTAGCTTTTTTTTTTCGTTCGAAACCCCTATGGAAAAAAACGAAGCTCCATCCTCAGTTAAGTTAGCAGCTCGTGATTTCATTCCTCATTAACGTATTAGTAAGTCGTACAGTTGCATCATGCTGGTCATCAGTCATCTCTCTGCAGTGCATTACAATTGATTGATTCATCTGATGAAGCGATCGTTGATCGGTTACTTGATTAGTTATTTCATATTCACCTCATTTACTTGGTGTTGCTAGCTTTAGCATAGGACAAGAGCGTTCCATGTATGAAATAGCAGAGTAATGGTGCAAAGCAGCAAATAAAACAACAAGTTACATTATATTAGATTATATTTTACTGACTGAGGTCTCTGCTTTTTTCTGATATTTTATGGAATTTTTTTTAGTTCTTCTCTTGAATGAATTTGCGTCCTTTTGCTTCAATTCATAAATTGGCTGACACATTATATACATACAATAATTCTGTTGAACAATTTTTCGTGGTGCCGTATTTCCAGAAGGCATATTATATTGCACCTGTTTTCTCATCCCTTAGGATGTTTTTTTCAACCGAAATAAAGTTTTAGTCGGTGCATTCGTAGTTCAGGCCGCTGTTCAGTAAGCTAGAGGTGTATGTTTCCCTGAGACACAAGGCGGAACAACGTGGGCAGCTGCAGTAGTTCAGAGCCCTCACGTGGCATCGCAATTAACTTGCTTAGTTTATGCACTCAGCAAAACGAATATTTAGTCCAGGGAAAATATCACGTTGACATCAATGCATTTAAGCTTGCTTATGCATTCAATTGCATACATGCTTCTGACCCCTGTGTTTGATCGAGCTTTTTGTATCGCGTATTTTTCTCTGCAGCGTGGGAAGGCTAATGGTTTGACCATGCACTTGTTGATGAGGATGTGACCACGTATTGATGGCGAAACAACATATTTGTTGGTGATTGTGTCACTATTCGCTCATTGGTTATGACCATGTGGCATTATGCCTGACTGCATACATGTGATTATCAGATTCTAGTGATGGCCGCCTGCTTGTGATAGCCTCGATTTAAGCACTGATGAGTGACCGTTTAGACTTTAGAGTGACCATCTTAATTTAATGATGATTAGATGAAATGAAGGTTGAATTGATGGATGAGTTGAAGGATTCAGGCTCTGCTAACCCCGAGCTCTGCGATGTATGGAGCGTGTGTATCCACCCACCCACTTGACTATATACACGCTCAAGCAAACGTTGTTTTGAGACACACACACGTACACAACAGCACGCATACACACTTACACTCTCACACCCCCGTGAGCGACCCCTTATTTGTCGATGGCAGGGGCGAGGGGCCGCTACTCACCTCGCTCACAGAGGGGCCGCTACTCCCCTCGCTCACAGAGGGGCCGTCACTCCCCTCGCTCACAGAGGGGCCGTCACTCCCCTCACTCACAGAGGGGCTGCGCTCATCGTGTACTCCGTTCCCGCTTCCTCTTGCCTCATTTGCCTCTCCCTTTCTCACCCTTTTTGTTTCCATGTATATTTTTCATCATTTTGAACGCCTGTTTGTAAATTTGTTTCGTTTTGTACTTTGAGCACATCACATTGCGTAAAGTGCTCAGTAGATTCCGGTGCAATTTAACGATTCCACTCACTGGTGCATGAAAGTTTACACATCAGCCCGCTTGTGCATACTGATGCTTGCAAGTGCACGTTTGTGTATAAAGGTGCACGGTAGTGCACGCGATGGTGCGCGATGTAAAGTCCGTCACTGTCAAGTCATCGCTGGGCCAGCGGCCTGTGGTCGTTGCCGTCGCCCTCTTTGGGGCCCCTGCGTTTTTTATCTCTTGGCTCTTGAGATAAGAAGCTCTTGGGGCCTGAGCTTCCTCGTCTACTTTGTACCTGTGCATTTTATTATGGGCTCGATGGGAGCAAAAGTTGGTTTGTACTCAATGACATAGCTCCATTAGTCTAACAACTAGTTAAACTAACGAGTCTGTAAAACTTCTGAGTTTGACTTCTGTTGAAAAATTTATTCAAAGATTTGTTCATTCGTTTTATAGGGCTGAAAATATATCTATACATTATTGTAGTTAGCGCGAACTCTCGCAACGCCAAGTCTGCTGCAAAGCATTGCGTTTCCTACTGACTGCTTCGTCAAATTTTATCCTAGCTGCATTCTACCAACTTCCTTGATTGACAATAAATTTACTACATCCAATCTAAGTTTACGCGCCAATGCATCTGGTGGGCGCTTCTTATCTCAATTGCGTCATGATATGAGCCTTCTCAACCCTTCTAGAACATTGGACCAAATCTCGTAACTGAAAATATTGTAAAGTGTCATCATCGATTTTTATTGCTTCATTATTAAAACCAACTCTCTCTGTTTCGATTCATATTATGAAACTCCGTTATTTTGTTCCTGCAGGACTAAACTATTATTTTTTTCTTACAGCCTTTATATACTCGACTGACTTAGTATTCTGCTTGCGGCCTAAACACCTGATATTTAACTGACTTCTTCTTTATCTTACGACTGACACTTGACTGACTTATTCCCGAGCACTGAAGAGTTCAGTTGATCTTAGCCTGAAGTTCAGCACTAGCTTTTAGCCATCGTTCCTCACACAATGCTCGCCGATTTCTTGTTAGAATGTCTTTCCTGTTGCCCTCTGTTCTGAAAAAAATGACAGAATCCCGTATGAGCTCACTTATAAAGTTCTCGGTCTATGGGTTATCGGCAATGACTTGGCCTTATGTTGGCCTAAACATACTAGGCCTTATCTTTTGTATCTTGGAACCTAACTCTAATCGAGTATAATGAAAATGTAACAGATTGAGAGGTGGTATTTCAGAACAGCATTGGGACCACTACATGATTTAGATTTAGTTCAGATGGATTCAGTTTGAATTCTGATACAGTTTTATTTGAAATTCTCATTGGATTTGTTGGTATTTCATATTTGTTCTTTAGCGATGATAGTGATGTGTTCTTTAGTTACTGTTTGCTTGAGTTGAACGCTGCGGCACTACAGGAGATGCTGCTGACGAAGCAGCTGCGCACGCCACGGCTATTGAGTTGTATCGACACTTCGAGGTTCGATACTCACTAACAGACGCGGTATCGACTCGACCTATGCGATACACAGCTGCTCTGCTTCTGCTCTTTGGACTCTAGCTTCATTGTCGCTCATGACGCATCATGTACTTATTATGTAATAAACCAGCATGATGGTAATTTTTCATATACATACATCACAGCAAACTAGTTTATTATACGTAACTTCAGGAATTACTTAAGAAATTAAAATTGTCCGCAGTAACGACGCCTGGAGACGCGCAGTCTCCGACCATCGGAAAATGGATTACCGCTCGCAGCCGCCTCTCTTCGTGGGCCTTGCTTTTACTTCTCATTATTGAACGCCCTGCCCTTATGGATTTCTAGAGTTTGCGGCTTCAGAATTCTTTACGCATTCTATAGAAAATCTTTTCCTAATGTGGTGGCTTGAACCTCTTCTTGTGTTGGCTCATGCTCGTCCTTCCATCCTCGATTAATTGTAGGTTCAGTAAAGAAATTATACCTGTATGTTTTATGTAGATGTATCTCAATTCTCCAGTTATTTTAGAGTATGTGCGAGGTGCACGAGCGTTTGGTGTCTTTTGTTTGATAATGATCGTTTCAAGACTTGATTGATTGATCTCTAGCACCATTTATCGATCACCACAAAATCTTTGAACCATTTTTTCACACAATATAACTTATTGCAAACTTTATTTCAGACCATGCTAATTTTACAAATGTGTGTTGCATTCATCGCCATTCCAATATCAGAGTTGACGTTTGAGGTAGCATCCGGCTTCTGCTTGTCCAAAAAATGTGCTGACGGCGTATGACGGAAGTAAAATGATTCATATCCAGTCTTGGCTTAGTACTTAACATTAAGCCTACACCATAGCGCCACTGATGTCATTGTTACTACGCATCACATTAACATCAGGTTTGATTATTGGATCCATGTAGCTCATGACGTTGTAGTAGCGTTCACTTGCTGAGCGTGTGTGACTATTGGATCCATGTAGCTCATGGCAATGTAGTAGCGTTCACTTGCTGAGCGTGTGTGTGTGACTATTGGATCCATGTAGCGCATGACGTTGTAGTAGCGTTCACTTGCTGAGCGTGTGTGACTATTGGATCCATGTAGCGCATGGCGATGTAGTAGCGTTCACTTGCTGAGCGTGTGTGTGACTATTGGATCCATGTAACGCATGGCGATGTAGTAGCGTGCACTTGCTGAGCGTGTGTGTGACGTCCATTTCTTTTGTTTCAGAGTCAACGACCGGAGCAGAGCGTCATGCAAGCCTTAGAATCGCTCAATGATGGTCAGGTGAGAACGTCCCACACTTGACTTCCATGAGCTCATGACAACCGCGTACATGTCAGCAAGCTATCGTCCTGTCTCTATATTAACTTACAAATTCACTTATTTTCGCCTTTCCCATTTATAGCCTCACTCATTTTTCAGCTATGATTAGCTTCATATTATTAAGGGAAGCTGCATACAAGTGTTCATGTTCCCATCTTTAATATATCTAAATTGTTGAATTGTTGTCTCTCATTTTTTTATATCTTATAAGCAAACACGATCGTATGTTTCATCATTTATTCATTTTAGAATGTGCCGTATGTCATCTGCGTTGTTTTGTTTGTGCGTCGCACTGGGCGTGGCAAGTTAAGACTGCTGCGAGTCTGGTAGTTAGATAAAACAATCGTTATGTAGAATAAACAAATTTCAATCAGGAGTGCTACTTTTATGTATCACGTTCTGGATCACTTCTGCTTCTTGCTGTTTTGGTCTCATAGAAACTCGTGTCTGATGTGGAATTACGCTTTACCTTGTCATTGTCTGAGTTTGTATTTCTTTTCACAGGTCACGGATTTTTTATCTGGCAAAGCACCTCTGAATTTGACGATGCGTCTCGGTGACCACATGATGCTCATTCAGCTTCAGCTGTCGACAGTATCACCTGTGCAGCATCACTCCAGCAACCGTACCAATCCTCACCACTTAACCACACTCAGACGAGGTTATTCGTCGTCCTCTTCTAACTCTTCTATCACTTCAAGCGCCTATTCTAACGTCTCTACTAACTCTTCTCCCGACTCTTTAAACTCGTCAACAAACTCTTCTTCTTCTTCTGCTCTGTCGCACATAGGGAACTCTATTGCGTCGTCTCTGCCTCAACCTAATTCTCCACTTGACGCACAGTCGAGCTTATCCACCACCACCACTTCTACGCCATCTACTATTGATATGCCGCCACCATCAAGTACTACTAATTCGGTCCCATCACAATCGTTGAGAAATAGTTCTAACAGACACCATCATCACCATTATCATCATAACCACAAAAATGTTTCACCCAATGGGGTTGGAGCAGCCAGACACCATCATCATCACGGTCATCACTATCATCATAGTCATCCGTACTACCACCACCCCTATCCCCAGTACCACCTACTATCACAGCCGCACTCCACCAACCCTTCATTGCAGTCGAGCAAGCACAGTACTCAGGCTCAGCCTATCAATTTGCAACAACAACAGCAACAGCATAAAAGCTTTCCTACAACCAATCAGAATACGTATAATTCTACAGGAAAATGTCCTAGCAATAACACTAATAATAATACTGTAGCTTCTGCTTGTAACGCGTCTTCGCCCCCACATGAACCGCCCTGCACGCCACCTCGTAGGTCTTCCTCAGCTAATTATTCTCCTCCTAGCTTCTCTTCTCCAGCATCTTCTGCATCCTCTTTTTCTCCTACGTCTCCCACCGCCCCCTGGTCTCCTGTTCTATACTCTCCTCCTGCGCCATCTCCATCCGTTCACTCAGCAAGCTACTTCAGCAGCAACACGAGTTACCGCAATGGAGGTGGTAGCTCCTTCACCCCTACACCCTACAGCAACCAGCAGCACCAGAGCAACAACAGCACCTCAGAGCTACCCATACGCGTGTGCCCCCATGCCTCAGTCGATGACTTGGACCTCAGCGATCTTGGGCTCAATGCCTCACAGGTTGGGGAAGATCTGAGCTTTAATTCCCGACGTGGGGGAGGCGCCGTAACCGGTAGTGTCGGAGGCCGTGTTCGAGGGGTCAGCGCTGTGGGCTTGGACACTCGTGCCCTCGCTGAAGCCTCGAGAAACCTCACACAAACTTTGCGTCAGCTCAGCTCCGAAGTTCTCACCAACAAACCGTCTACTGCTGCTTCAAGTCACCACAATCACCATCATCATGCTCATCATCACAATTATGCCGGAGCAGCCGCAGCTTCCCTCGATCATAAGAAACGTGCCTCGGTAAGTGCAACCTCAAATTTATATTTCGTTCATTGTTGATTTGATCAGACTTCTTTAATGCATTTGCTCTTCTTCAAACATTTTTGAACTTGTAAAGTTTGTCAACGTTGGCTTTCCCATAATATTTAAATGATCCGCGTTACCAATCCGTCAAAAATTGAAGTCTCGTTCCATCTATTTAGGTCACGTTCCTACACAGAATTTAAATTTTGGTTCGTTACGGTGCCAAAAGTGGCTAGCTATTTACATTGCTGCACCAATAAGATCAGCTTGAAAATGGCAAATTCGAAGTTGAAAAAATTTGCACGAATTCCAATCGCTATTTTTTGACAGACCAAGTTTTGAATTTCCACATTCAGAATTCTAACCTAAATTTTATGATTAGGTATATTTTTTTCTTGTATAGTAGGAATTAAACAATGTTAATTTCTTGTCGCGTTGTGTTGATACATTTAAATTGTTATGTTTCTATATGAAAACTTGAATGTAAACTTAGTGAAATCACTCTAATCATTTCTAACGTAATGCCTGAATGGCAGCATATTTCTGGCTGCTATTTCAATTCTCATCTTCTTTGTTTGATGCATAAATAAAAAGTCGCGTTCATCATTGGAATCTATTTATAGCCCGCAGGCCCATACGTGCCAGGCCAGAAAAACAACGCCACTGTTGCTGGGTCGTCATCGAGTTGCGACTCAACGGAGCCTCGAGTGAACATCGGTCCTGCGATTCCTAGTGATGTTTGCGTCGCTCCCGAAACTGTAGACGTCAATAGCAAATCAGGAACTTGTCCCACACCGGGGGCTGGCACCGATGTGAGCCTCGACTCTGCGAGAAGAGCTCAGGTCGCACCGAAGTCAACTCGCTCCCGAGCCTGTAGTTCTACTCGCTCCGTGAACAGCGGCAAATGCGCCCGGACGCAGGGATGGTCTGGTCGACCCTTCAATGCTCCGGGTGTGGAGAGTTCTGCTGGTGACGGCAGAAGAGGCAGCACATGTCCTCCTCATCAGCCTCAAGGTGCCATCATCGAGAGCATGCAGCATCACGGCAAAGGTGTCTTCAGTGGAACTTTCTCTGGTAAGCTTATGTACCTATAGCATTTCTTTGTACACATTTATGGCAGGCATGTGTTCGATTAATAATTTAATATTTAATTAAAAAACAAGAATGGAAGTGAACATGATAAACAGTTTGAACTACCATCCGAGAACGTAAATTCATTTAATTTCGTACCACGTCTTTCTTGTTTCATCATTAAGACTAAACAAATCTTGCTTTAGACGGCAATATGACAAACTTTCGACTGTCAACACCGGTGATGTACACCGACATAGTCATTTTCACCCAACGCTTACGAACATGTTAAAGCCTTGATTGGCCGTCTGCTAATTTCCTCTCGCCCGTCTAGGTACCCTGAACCCGGCACTGCAGGACCGCCAGGGTCGCCCTAAGCGTGACATCAGCACCATCATCCATATCCTGAATGACCTGCTGTGCGCGACGCCGCACTACACCAGCACCGCTGCCGCCGTCGCCGCTGTCGCTGCTGCTGCCGCGTCTACGACGCGACCTTCGTCGTCTGCGCCTCGCGCTTCGTCTGCTGCGCCACAAACTGACGCTGCAGCTAATCCCAAGGACACGGGTCAGTTGCGCACATTATTCTGTTAAGCTTAAGAATATTTCTTTACCTTACAACCAATTTGCTACACTTTGTTCTGTCCAATTTACAAATTTAGTCGTACGGTTGTGGTCAAACGAACCCATTGACAGCGTTTCAGTTATCAGCTTAACGTTGCCGGTTTTATTTCAGTGTCGGCTGAAGATGCTGCCACGCGGTCTCGCGTTCAGCAGATCCAAGCGATGCTGGAGCAGCGAGCTGAGCGAAGGAGAGCTCGCCGGCTAGCACGGACGGCTGGAAGCGGCCAGCCGTACTCCCTGCCTGTGCCCACTGCATCCAAACCTCGTCAGCCAGTTCCTGGACCGGTTACTTTGCCAGAAGCTCCAAAGGAATCGTCCAAGGCTTCGGAAATGAACGCCCCAGCGTGCGGAAATAAATCTTCTATTGATAAATTGACGGCGCTCTGCTCTGACTCTTCAAATAGCGTGTGCGTGTCGAAAGCTACCGTCCCTGATGATGTTTGCTTGGGCTCCGCTCAGCAGCACCAGCACTTGATGCGTGAACTTCTTAAAGGTTGTGTGTCGGCTTCGAATACGCCTTCTCACATTTCTTCGGCCCAAGATCAGACTTGTAGCTTCGCCGACAGTAAGATAGACTGTGAACCACACGAAAACTACTCCGCTGCTGCTCATGTGCAGCCACAACAGCAGAACATTGCGCATTCGCCTGATGTTATCAGTAACTCAGTCCTAGCCGACGCACCTTCAGCCATGGAAGTGGACGAACCACTGGACGTTGCATCTGAACCTACGAAAAATTCTTCAGTGGAAGTAAACCCTTCCCTCTCCGCCACTGCCGAGCTCACTGCTTCCGACTCACCGTCTGTAGAGGCGCATGTTAAACGCCCCCAAGAACAACGGCAACAACAATCCGAACAACAGCAAGAGGTGCAACAAAGCCAACAGCAACAGCAGCCTCAGCAGGAGAAACAGGCTGACCAGCAGCAGGAATCGACTGGCGATGCTGACCAACAAGACACGGCAAAAATAGTTTCTCTAAATTCCGGCACCGTAATGGCATAATGCTTATTCGTTCTAGTTTACATGACGCGTTTCTCGTCTCTTACTGTTTATTATTTCTATTGAAATTATAACGCCGGTCATAAAATTTTTCACGATGGCATTAGACCTTCTTATCTACCTCGGAAGACGCACCGCATTGTAATTATTCTGTACATTTGTTGCGCTCGTATCAACGTTCCTCTGTTGATATTCGACTCGGTTATAATCTGTCAATATTACATTAAGGAATTTCATGCATTTCTCGATAATTTTGTTCACGATTAAAACTTTCTTATACTTCCTACGAGTTCAAGAGTGGTTTTCATGTTGGAAACTTGGGAGCGTTAAAGACTAGGCAGTTAACGTCGGGTCGTGGGATTCTAGTAGAAATTATCTTGTTTATATTGTGTTGGCATTGCGAATTATCTTCTCAGGTATTTACGTGTTGATTATTGTTGATGTCTTTTGACTTATTTATATAGAGCTGTTGATTTCCTCTTCCCTTGTTCGTTTTGACGTTGGTGTAGAAGTAAGGCATTCATTAGTTTTTGAATTCAAATATTTGAATACAGTGGGCCTGCGTGTGTGATGTGTAACATACATGAGACCTGTCTGTTATGTTCTAGAATACCCCTGGCCCAGTGTTCTCTCTAAGAACCGTCATTACTTTCTTCTTACTTACTGTTTGCTGATCGTGGGTGATTATTGATCTAAGTTCCTTAGAGGAACTTTTTGTTCTGTTTGAGGTTACAAAATGTTGTTATCATGGCATTGTTACCGCTTGTCGTTGTTGTTCTGTTACGTTTCTCCTTGAAACTGTTCCTCGCTACAAATTGCATCAAAACTGAGCAATTTAACGGCATAACATAAGTCTTTGCTACCTAACCTCGTGTTGCCTACTTTGAAGTACAATTGTTCGGCATTTAAGAGGCATTGGTTTTAGTTACCATTTTTTGTTTAATGGCAGGTGACAGAAGCATGTGGGAGGCAGTGATGGCTTTTTTTTTTCAAGTATCGTTGTGCTTTTTAGATCGGCATTGAGCGGAATTTCTTAAGAGGGTCAGGTTGCAGGAGCTTTCACTCCGGGCTATGTGAACATAACGTGCGCTATTCGGGAGTGCACCTGAATTGTACGAGCTTATTGATTAATTTTCAGTAAACTCAAATCATGAACCAAGGGGCATTGTTTAGGTATCTTGTGGAAATATTTTGAACTTTGACGTTGTCGTAAGTTGGTCTAAGAAGATTGTATTCAGAATCGAAGCCATTCTGCGCGGTTAGATGAAACGTTGAAATATTATACCTACGCATTATTCACTAACACTTGCGATGTCCATGAGTGGAATTTAGTGATAGCTTAGTCTTGGTATTTCATCATGCATGAGTTACATATTTTACCAACATAGGCATTTCATGGGCCATCGCTGGCTATATTACGTCAATGTGTTGCGGTATGACGAATGATTTTTAACGCCGTCTTTCGTGCTCATGGAAATTCTGGTTCTGATGATTTAGCGGAAAATTCTTCTTTTAATTTGGAAATAAAAAGATTTATGTCATTTTATTACATATGCAGAGTTCAATGAATAAATAAACTTGTAATTATAATTTGAACTTTCAGCTATTCAGAACTTGCCCGTTAATGAAGTTTAACTCATGTACTGTGATTGAAAAAAAGTTAGCGTATAGGCTTCCTTCTTCCCTTCCCCCTTATAGTCCTTCTAATGGAATCCAAGTAAAGCTGAGGAATATAAGTGCTGTATATTATACCATATCTGTGGCGACGACCGCGCCGTCCTACCGATTTAAGTTTCTAGGTTCTATTACTTCTATGAAATACATTGCTTAAACTAATACACATTTCAATGTTGGGGTTTCTCTTGCGTTCCGTTGATTCTCTGGTGAAGTTTTGTAAATGTTGAATGCCACAGAAGTTCAGTGTTACATACCGTGTGCAACACACGTTCGAAAGTATCCTGTGTACCATACCTTTAGCAACACAAGAGCAGAGCTAAGCCTGAATGTACGTTGCTGTAATGCTAACACATCTGCACAAGTACGGTTAACTATGTACATAATAGATATGAAGTGTATATAAGCTTAGACAATTGGACTCTTCCTATGAGCGATCGTATCGACCGTTTGTACTTTGTGCGTATAAGCGGGAATCGTCTAGAACTGGGCATGTCATTTTCAGAAACGTCCTCTCGTGGGATAAAAATTTTCTGGTATGACTTCTTCTGAACTGGTAATAACTGCGGCTTTCCTCACTTCATGGGTGCCCAAATCAGTGTACATTTTTTCTGTAGGTTATGGTTTACGAAGTAGTATAAATTGGTCCAGGAGTATTCACGTTAAATTTATTGAATTCTGCTATCGTCCATCTTTTGCATTAAATTTCTAGTTTTCCTCCAAAATCTTGTTGATATTTTTAATCTTGTCAATAAAAGGACTTTTTAAAATGCCCTATACTATATTTAAGAGTCTTAGATTTGTTCCAACTTCTAACCCACCGCATTATAGCCCTGTGAACGCGTAGATGAAAATAGTTGATAACCTAGATAAATAAATGAATCTTTACGAGTGAAGTAGGCGCGCAACGGCAGAAATTTCAGCGAACGTTCATCTTATTAAATGAAGCTATTAGTAATTTATTTACTTCGATAAAGCTCACGTCGACTTAACTGTGGACTCAGATCTTACAATAGGCAAGATTGCGTAGAATTAAGCCTATGTCTGTATTAATTTTTTCTAGTAAATTGTGGGGGGGTCTATCCCGGAAAACCTGAAGGCGTTTGAAATAACCCACAGTTGCTTTTGTAAACTATTTGTAAAATGTTTACATTAGTTTCGTTTGTATTGTTACTGTTAATTGGGAGTGAGTGTTTGAGCACTATAAAAATCTTATATTCTTACTATGTACGATGGTGTATTCTGTGATATAGATCGTCTGAATTTAGCCCAAGAAGCTGCTCTTGTTTCGATAATCATTCTTCTCTTTGAATATGTTTTCTTCAAGTGAGTATTTGGCTAGAATTACTTGTCATTAATTTCCGAATTAAAAGTGGAAACCCGCATAGAAATTTTTCTGCTTAGTTCCCATTCCTTTCTTTAAATTGGATCGACGTTTCATGAACTTTTCTCCTAGAGTTAGTTTGTGTGTTGCGAGCACGTTTTTTTTCGTTTTTCTCTTCCTTATGGTAACCCTTTAGTGATTGAGAAGTGTGGCTTTTCCTATTAATTTAAGTGAGGGTAACAAATAAAAGTTCATTTTCTGCCCCCTGTAAAATTTCCCATATTTGAAACGATTTCATGAAGGCATATACTAGAATGCTTATGCATGAAGTGCGTAGTTCATTGTGTCGTCTTGGCCTGCTTCTTCGTGGAGGTAATTTTAGCGACTGCTCCTACGAATAAAGCTCCTGCCAGACGCATGTGAGGCCATGTAATGTTTAATATTCCTGCTACCGTCGCCCATCTTGTGCTACCGTCGCCCATCTTGTTGTGCTTCCAACAATCCAACGCGAGCGCGTCGCAGGCTGGAGAGTTGAAGCTTGTCGTCATTTATGCCTAGTGACTGCCAACTCTAATTATGTCTTGCAATCATCTGAATAGTCTAGTATCCTGCACTCGGTTATCTACTTCTCTCTCTTGTGATCTATGACTTGAACGTATCAATATACGCATGTTGCACTCATTGGCGTACGCATGTTGACTTCCCATGTGCGTGTGGTGCAGTGACGCAAGTGCGCGCGTTTCTGTCAACAAGCAAATCGTATTCAAGAGTGTTGGGCGTGTACGTTTCCGGGTTCCGCTGCTCGTTATGTGTTATTTAGAGCACAACACAGGAAATATGTGTGTGTTATCCTGTAAAGATGTAATAAAGAGTAAGTTGACACTACTATTGAGTATGGATGCTAACGCAGAGGTCAAATCATGGCGCCCATTTGGCTCGATTTGATCCTCTCGTCTAATCCTACTTCCATTTAATAACCTGTACCGGGTGTATTTTTTGCTTGCGCAGGTAATATTATTTATGTATCTGAATATTTGTAATTTAATATCTTCTATACTTGGCGGTGTCGCATAATTGCGCTGATTAATCGCGATGAAGAAAGCACAGGAATCGCAGGAGTCAACGTGCGCATGCCTCGCAGGCTGTGTGTCGTGGCATGTGGCGAGTCTGCGGAATTTGGCTGCACGGCAAACTTTTCCTTGGGCTCGCGTCAAGTATGCATCACAGCTTCAGTTACAGGAACATTTTCTGCAAAGGGGTACGGAGATTTATTTCTTAGCACTTTGACTGTTGTTTTGAAATGTTAACACAATTTAGGTAACGGTCGAGCTATAGCCTTTTTCAATGGTGGATGATCCATTTCAGTTCGCCTCCGATTGATTGTTCTTGAGGAAATTCTACATTGATGTAGTGTAGTAGCCTCGGGGGGTTGGTTTGATTTTGTACATAATGTCTGATGTATATGAAGAGCCGTGATGGTAGCTGTGTGTGCATGTAGGAAATAGTTCTCCTTTACTTTGTATTCGAAGAAGTACGTTTGTATTAACGACGCTGACCCTGTCTTATTTTTGTATAGGCTCTCCTATGCAATTGCATGTTGTGCTTCAATCTCGTAATTTCTCTCTGATGAGCCGATTTTCGTGGTGCAGTTTTTACCATGCAACAACATTCTGCTAGTACCCTTCCTGATGGTACATGAATATTGTTTACGATATTCCTCTAGTTCACTACTTGTTTGTACATGAATATTGTTAACAATATTCCTCTAGTTCACTACTTGTTAGTACATAAATTTTGTTAACAATATTTCACTAGTACTCTTCCTGTTTGTACATGAATATTGTTAACAATATTGCGATTGTACACTTCTTGTTTATACATGAATATTATTTGCCTGCAGTTAATATCCCAATTAAATGATATACTCGTACATACGGCATAATCGCGCGGAATAGTTATCAGCATTCCTGGTTCAGCCTCTCGTGTGCAAAGAATTTCTAACTTAATTTTACATTGACTTCCAGTGGCTAATTCTTTGGCTTATGCTGTATCTTTTCTAGCAGAATTTTTTTTGCTATTGATTGAAATTTATGATTTATAAACTCTCAAGCTAATATTGGAGGGTTTAATAACACCAAAATATTTCGCCTTATATAATTTAAAATATTTTTAGAGGTTCCTACTCGTGTCTATATTTTTGAGAAATGTTCATTTCCTGTCACTTGTAAATTGAGCTTGCATTTTACACAAGCAGATGTCTTTTTCTTGTATCATCATTTACTTGCCGATATGCTGAAAATTTCAGTCTCATTCAGTCATGATTTGTTCGAAAGTATAATTTCATTATGTATATGTTCGAAATGAATGGTTTCTTTTGTCGTTAGTAATTACTCTGCAGCATCGCTGGCTTGCATGTGGCTGGTATTACTAGAGTGTACTCGAGTAAAGTAAAGTATAATTGCATGGTATCTTGTGTTCCTGGTAGCATGAATACGGCCGCGTGGAGTTGAAGCCGACTGTGGTCGCGCGTATCTGAGATAGTCACTTCTAACCTATCACTGACCGTCGGTATTAACATTCAACGCTTGATTTATTTGCAGTCTTGGTACGGATCGCATTATTGCGGGTGACGGTGTGTAAGCGTTGTAAAGTTAATCATAATCCCACTGACTCGTTTCCGGGTGCTAAATAGTTTGTACTGATATCCTACACTGTTATCATCCTGTTATTTAACAAAATTAGCGAGCACAGCGCTGTCTTTTCGATTCGTAGGAATCGTTTCAGTTCATTTCCTAATGTCTACGTCGTGACCGCCTATCAATAGCCTACGGATTCATACGAATTTTCTCCAATTTTCGATTTCTGTAGCTGATCCCATATACTTTTGTTTGTACAAATGTCGAGTAGAGGTTCTTTTGATGTCATTGTTATAAGTCTGAACATTAAGGAAGTGGCATTAAGACAACACCTGCAGCGTCAGTTCGTTGTTCTGTAGGATTTATCTCCATATATTGAAATAATAAGTTTTGCAAATGGAATACTTGTATTTATTGTCCTTTTGTGCCTCGTTCACGATTTTGAAGTTCCATGTGCACTCTAATATATTAACAATGAGTGGCATAATTTTCAATACTAAAGTTTTTAATGCACTAGCTTACGCTAAAATCCAGGATAGGGAGAAGTTTGTTATGACTGTAGGAAAGTACATAACTGCATGATGGAATATTGACAAAATGGAACCGGAGTTTTCGACCCAGAGCGCAACTGGTGACACGATCTTGAATACCAGTCCCTTCACGTCACTAAATCTGTTCATCATTTCGGCGGAGCAAAGCGAACGCACTGCGCACGCTATCACTTCACTTCCCTCGTGTTAATGTATGCAGCTATCCATTTCTCACGTTTTGCACCCACACTCGAAAGTACCGAATGACCATTGCAATTATCGATCTCCTACCATGAGTATCACGATCACCCGAGTTTTACGGTTACATGGCTTTCCGAATATTTGCTCGCTTTTAAGATGAAATTGTTGATTATTCACGTGATTGCGTTGTAATTATAATGTATTATTTTGATAGGCTTACCACACTTCACTTCTCTACGCGAATTGGGTAATATTATTACTGTATGTAGAGATTAACGCGACGTCTGGTGCTAATGGACCTTAAGGACACATTACAAGCTGAGAGTACTAAGAAAATGTTTGAAAACGAAACAAATAAAAGATAATGACTATTTACAACAGTCAAAGTTCTACGAAATTGTTCAGTTTTCAGTCGACGACAAATTACCAGCACCGAACCGATGTTACAGAAGCTGACAGCCATTTCCAAATTTTGGTCACGGCTAGCGAGAACCTTCTGTCGACCATGGTCGATGGGCGTGTAATTGGAACGATGAGGTCCTACATTAACACTCGTATGTCGCTTATAGATACCTTCACATAACTGACGGCCTCAACAGAAACTACGTCCTCCACAGAACCTATGACCACCAGAGAACTCATGACCTCCATAGAGCTTGCGACGACCAGGATCTACACAGAACTTATTACCCCTGGAGGACTTACGAGCTCCCTTAAACGTACGGCCTCCTCCAAACTTCCGTAGCGAGTGCGAGCAGATTTAACAGGAGCAGTAGTGTATCTGTGTATGTTTCAATTTTCGATGTAGATTATCACTAAAAAGACTGACCGCGGTATTGCGTTTTTCAACTGTTTAATACGTCTCGGTTTAATTGCATTAGCAATAACAGCAAAAAATTTTTTTTTAATATCCTGGAGATTTGTATTGACCTAATTTTTTAAACAGGCTATCGTACAAGTTTGAAGATCATCAAGTCACTCAAGAGTTTGTTTGAAATTTCAATAGGTATTTTTTGCACTATTATAATAATCTGGAGGATATTTTTATTTAATATCATCATCCTCACTGCTGTCATCAAGAATCTTCATCGGAAGAAGAAGTCAACGTTGACTGCAAGTTGTGTTTAGTGTTTACGTTTGTCATCCCTAGTGAGCGTCGCTGAAAGTTTGTGTGCAACTACCAAAACGGTAGAAAGATAACCATGCCTGCGGATAATATGGAAGAACAGGGTCTAGAAAAAAATCCCGATTTACGACTGGCTCAACTAAAATTTAGTTTGTCGCTGCCAGAACATAAAAATGATTCTAAATTGACTGCTGATTTGAAGGCTGGAATTACGGAGAACAGTGAGTATACCTACTTTTACCTAGTACTATAGACTAAGACTACAGGATGCAAACACGCCACTACAAAGATCATACCTTAATACCTATGTGTTTTCTTATTTTATCATTTTTATAGTGCAAGTAATAATTCCCAGGATTCAATTTGAAAAATTAAGTTCCCCAATGTGCAGAAAAACAATGATTTACCTAGAAACCAATTCATTTCTGATTTCCTCAGTCAGATCTACTTCAAAACTAACCTAGAACACTGAGCAAATTTTCCCATAATTTCAGTTTTACAAATTATTTCATAGTTGATTATGATTTGCCTGCAATTTGTGGAAAAATTTGTCCAATGTCAGAATGTCTCAGATTGGCTGACAGCCTGACACATACCTAGGATCATTAGTTGATTAGGTAGGTAGTAGGTACTATTCATATACCTAATCTCTTTAATTTCATTGTTGATTGAAATTGTAAAAAAATTTACCCATCACTTCAAGATTAGAAATTTCCTATTTAATGCTAAAATCTTGTGGCTTTATCAAGCTCTTTTATTAACAATTATATAGGAGATACCTAAATCATCTAGACCAGTGATTCCCAAAGTGGGCGATATCGCCCCCCTAGGGGCGATGAAAAGATTTTGGGGGGCGGTAAGAAAGAAGAGGGTGGTTGGGGGGCGATAGGGGGGCGACAATCCGAAGTAACCACTGGGCAGGGTGGCCCAGTGGTTAAAGTTCAGAGTACTAGGATTGGAGCAGAGAGGCGCGGGTTCGATCCCACTCTGTGCGACAGTTTCTGGTCAGAATCGGCGAGAAGGCCTGGCGGTTAAGCACATCAGAATTGTAACAGTGAGTTGCGAGTTCAAGACCGCGAAATGCTGTGAATGTTCTGCGATGTTAGGAATTGGCGACAGGCCTACGGCCTAATAAACGCTGAAACCGCTATTATTATTATTATTATTATTATAAGTCAGAAGTTCGAAAGTTTGTTTGACGATTTGTACACAAAACGTGCAGCACATGACTTCCAGCGATGGTTTTTACCCAGATCTGTTTTTTTTAGCCTCTCCTGGGTTTACGTCTCGGACAAATTAACGGCCGGACTCGCGGCCGGTCTCAACGCCAATTTCCAAATTCAATGATCAAGGAATATCTCTCAAACTAATGAACTTAACTCGATGAAACTGAGTACATGTATTCATTAGGGCCTAACAATAATGTTTAGCTCTTGAAAATTGCTTGAATTTTGCCATCGTTTGTTTTTTGTCATAGTTATATGGCAATACGGGCCGAAATTCACAGTGATCAATTAATTTCTTCCAAACTACCGAACAGATTTGAACGAAATTTTGAATTTGCAGTCCTAGCTGCCGAACAGTAATGTTAAGCTCGTGAAAAAATTTTGGATTGCGCCTTCGTTTGCGAGTTTTTTTTATTTCACCTTCAATCGTGATTTAAACAGCAATACGTGTTTATTTTAATTAGCAATAATCAAGAAATTTTTTCCAAACTGCTGAACAGATTTGAACGAAACTTAGTATTTAAATACCTAACTTCAGCAACGGTGATGTTTAGTTTGTTACAATTTTTTCGTTTTGCCTTCGTTTGCCAGTTATACAGCCTTATACGGCTCATGGTTAAATCGGCCGGTAGAAAAGCCGGTCGTTCCTCCTATAACTGTATAACTCGCAAACGAAAGCAAAATAAAAAAAATTGTCACGAGCTGAACCTCACCGTTAAGAGGTTAGGTATTTATATACAAAGTTTCATTGAAATTTGTTTTGTAGTATGGAAGAAATTTCTTGATCGCCTAGAATTTAAGAGTGACAAATTACCCGGCGATACGGGCCGAATATAGGGAAGAGTGAAATCAAGAATGACGGTGAAATGGAAAAAAAAACTTGCAAACAAAGGTAAAATCTAAAAAATTATAAGCTAAAAAATCACCGTTTGGTAGTTAGGAATGTATATATTGAAAATTTTGTTCAAATCTGTTCAATAGTTTGGAAGAAATTCTTTGATCACTGCGAATTTCGGCCTGTTTCGCAATATACGCGTAACTCACGAATGGAAGTGACATTTAAGAAAAATTACATGCTAAATAACACCGTTAGGATCTGACGAATACTTGTTCCAAGTTTCATACAGCTGCGTTCATTAGTTTTGGAGATACTACTTGATAATTGAATTTGGAGATTGGTCGAGAGACCGGCCACAAGTCCGGCCGTAAATTCGCCCGAGACGTCCTATGGTTTCTAGTGCTGAAACAGTTGAAACAGCTGAAAAACATATTGGTTCCCTAAATGGGGTTCTATTTGTGAAATACACATTTGTGTTTAACCTTTCTCTTTTAAAATTTCAGCGTACTAAATTTCAAGAAAGAGGTGTATGTCTGTGGGGGGCGCTGGAAATTCACGAGGGAGCCAAAGGGGGTGCCAGCCTGAAAATGTTTGGGAACCACTGATCTAGACTCTAGTGGAAACCTTGTCACTAGATATTCTATTAACATTTGTATTTAGCTTTGAGATGTCAAGATCTTCTTGTTGATTTCATTTGGTGAGAGTCAGCTGTATATATGTCAGAATTGTTGATAATCTTGCATTTTTTTAATGTAATTAGATATAGCTATAAGCTTTTTAATTATTTTTGGCTTATTTTTATGCAAAATGTTAAAAGGAATTTTAATTGTGGTTTGGTTGTTTTGTGCTGGAAAATTTATAATGAAACCTCCTCACCTTATTTTTTTCTTCCAGATATGACTCCTTTCTATGAAGATTGCTGTAAGGACCTGGATTGGCCAGTTGATGAAGTATTACTGCAAAAAATGAAGAAAGCTAATGCTGATACATTGAAGGTACAGAAACTTTGTCAACTATTTGATACTTTGTTATAGATCAATTCAAATTCAAAACTAATCTGTTGTTTTCAGGGTTAATAACTAAAACTGCTTTGTTGTCTATGTCAATACTTAAGCAGTATATTTCTAGTCTCTACTTATAAAAGATGATTATAAATGATAGTACCGTGAAATAGGGTAACAACCGACTAACAAGGGATAGGTGAGATAAATCAGGACAGTCCTCTGACATTTCATAGAACTGTTGTAGCAACTATATATACTGCAAAACTAAAAATCGTGGCATAACATTCTGCATTTTTTCTATCTATGTAGCACAAAGCAAGTTAAAAAATCATACATAAATTTACTTACTACCCGTACCTCTGAAAAATCCCTGAAAAAAAAGTGTGAAAAGTGAGATTTTGGAAGAGTACCTCTGCTAAGGTCTGTAGCAAAAAAATATTTGCCATATTAAAAATTTTACTTACATGAAAGTTGCACACAGTTGTTGGCTTGAAAATGTGACTAATGGAATTTGTGTGACGTGTGACGCATCCCCCCAAAAATTACAGCCATTTCCGCAAGACTGGGTAATATGGAACACCCCCTGCGGTAATAAGGTACACCCCTAAAAATTGTAAAAAAAAATTTTTAAATCTTTTTCATCATAGTGAATTCACTTGACCCAATTAGAATGGTGCCAAATTACAAGCCATCCCGTAAGCTTACAGATAGAGAAGAAATGCTATATGGCTGCTGATATAAGGCTTGCAGTTGACAAGGTCGTTGTCAATGCTCAAGGGCATGTTCATGGATGCGATGATATATCAATAATATGGCAATGTATGGATATGGTAATTTCAGCGATAAAGGAAAAACAAGTAAAAATCACAGAAAATGTCAGTTATTCTACATCTACATCATCTACAAAAAAAAGGAGGACTTCATAGTGCTTGTGTAGTAATGGATGACAACACTCCGCATGTTTCAAATATTTTAAAATTAGGTTTCCCTAATTACCCTTTTTCCAGGGGTCATTAGGGATGCTTTTATTTTGCAGCTGGCACCTTACGAATATCATTTGATATTTTTTAAGCGATGCCATATGATGGCCCTTGCAAAGGCCTATAAAGTGAGCCCAAACTCATTTATGGGTATGTTTCATGGCAAGAAATTATTGACGAAAAACACTCAAGTACCGATTTTAGAGATTGATCCTAAAAGCAAGAGATTTTCAAGTAAAGTGCCAGCAAATAAACTGAAAACTAAATAAGATGGTGAAAGAAAGCTTAAATTATTTTTCTGTGATTGTAAAATGCATTTCCTCAATCATAATACTACGTATGTCATGGATTATTTAAGCATTTTAAAGGCTGGTGTATTGTATAATAATGCACAAAGAGGAAAAAGTGCACAAGAAGGCAAGTTTAAACTTTGCATCTACCACAGTTTGAAATAAGATCATTGTGCAATCATGCAATCATATTTTGCATGTAATAAAAAGTAAAATAGCAGCAATTGAATGATATGTGCTACATGCCAGTTGTGAGATTAAATGCTTTAGCACCTTTGCACTGTACAATACTTCAAGTCGCAAGATTTCACATTCAAGTTGGCATTTACTTTGGATCCTCAGGAGGAAAATAAATAGATATTCGGAGAACAAATGTTGTGTATTTAATATAAATTTGAGAGCAATTAGAGCATTGAGTGTATTTTCACCAATTTATGTACAATGTAGTAAGCATTACTGTGTATACACTACCGTCAACCGGGGCAAAACTCGGGACGGTTTTGAGCGTTTTTTGTTAATAACTTCTTACCATGAAACATTTCATAAACAAGTCAAGGCTCATTTTATAGCTCTTTGCGAGGTCTATCGAATGGCATCTTCAAAAAAAAAATTCTATATGCTATTCGTAAGGTGCCAGAAGCAAAAAAAAGTTTCCCGAGTAGCCCCGTCGAATGGGGCTACTCGGGACACTTGGAATTAAAATTCATTTTAAAATATTTGAAGCATGCAGAGTGTACTCATCCATTACTAACAGTACTCTGAAGTCCTCCTCTTTCATTGTTGTTGATGTAGAGGTAGAATAAATGACATTTTCTGTGATTTTTACTCGTTTTTCCTTTTTTGATGTGATATTACCATATACATTGATTACCGTATTATTGATGCGATATTACCGTATCCATGAACATGCCATTGAGCATTTTTACAATGTAGTAAGCATTACTGTGTATACACTACGAATAACATAACATCACAACAACAACGCCTGCTGTTTCACAAACAAATTTCATTTACAAACGTCACTCATATTTGGGCCACTATTACGAACAGCTTCTATTACTCTGATGTACACAGAGCTTCTTAGTTGACATTTGGGTCTTGTGTATTGTTTATTTTTAAATTAATAAAAGCCAATTCTACTTTAATCTTGCCTGACGCTTCCAAAATACTCAGTACGTATTTACGAACAGGGACAATACATTTCAGGAAATGAGCATTTAAAATTATAATTGTTGGTCTCTCTTGATGCTATTTTGGGAACAGCTAGGCGGGAATATTGTTTATTTAATTTTGTTTTGCATTATTAAATAATTTTTGCTCCATCCAATGATTTAATTGTAATTTTATACTTTTTTTGCCACCACTACATTGGTAGAAAAATCAAGTTTCTACTGCCTAAAAGTTTCCTTATTTATGTTGAAAAACAACTTGTTAATTTTTTTAAAGAAAATAATCATAGGACTTTTTTGTCATGTTTGTAAGATGGTATAATATATTGCATAATCCTTGTAATATGCCGGTATAGCATTCATAATGTGTCATTATCTATGCTATAATAATATCAATTAAACAATTCAGGAAATGCCCTTGACAAATAAAGTTATTGCTTACTTTGAATGTATTCGGCTGACTGTTTTGACAGTGTCTCATTTACTTTAAATTTCAGCAACTGGATGCAAATATCCAGGAAGCCGAAACAAGCATGGGAGAGAGTGAGATACGAGAAGCATACCTGAGCAAGGCTGAGCACTACACCAGGATTGGGGACAAGGTACAATGTTTTTACATAGAATTAGATTGAATAAAATTTTAATATTTGATATCTCATTTGAAATGTTCTGTCTTTAAACGATAGCTCAGAACTCCATCTGAGTGATCACATATTCATCACCTTCTATATCTATTATCTATGAAACAGGAGGCAGCAATATCTGCTATAGCAGCCACCTCAGAAAAGACTGTGTCTTTGGGACAACGACTGGATTTGGTGTTTCATAACATAAGAATTGGGCTCTTCTATCTCGACCATGGCCTTATCAGCAAGAACATTGAGAAAGCAAAAACGCTTATTGAGGAAGGGGGGGATTGGGACCGTCGCAATAGACTCAAAGTTTATGAAGGTGTCTACTGCATGTCCATCCGTGACTTCAAGAGGGCTTCTTCGCTCTTCCTGGACACAATCAGCACCTTCACATCTTATGAACTTATGGATTACAACAAGTAAGTGTATCAAAGTTTAAAGTATTATAAATAATCAAACCCATAGCAGCTAACTACTTGAATACTTTGCTCCAATTTTGTTTATGAATTTAAAATTACTGCCGATTATTCTCTTACTCTGCATTGTTGCCAGGGCTAGCTTACATTTGTTTCTTAAAATAGTGCATTGAATGCGACAAAATAATTAAGTTGTTACCTTTTTTTTATTGATTGATTTTTAAATTTATCCTTACATCTTTTATTTCAACTAATGCAACTTCAATGTCACTTCGAACGCGATGTGAAGGTTCGTGTGGTACTGCGTGGTGGTATGCATGCTCGCGCTGCCCCGAAACGAGCTACGCCAGAATGTGCTCAAGGGGGCCGAGATCCAGGAAGTGCTTCACTCAACTCCTGATCTCCGCGAGTATCTGCACTCGCTCTACGATTGCCAGTATCAAACGTTCTTCGCTAAACTTGGTATGATCCAATTTATTTTAGTTTAAATTAAATATTTTTTTAGCATTTGTGAGTTTTGCCTAAGACTGTTGAGTAGTTCAATGGATGCTGAAGAGTTCTGAGCTATTTGGGCCATAATTGCAACTTTTGCTGTTGTTCTCTTAATCGTCCACAATAGTATTTCTTACTAGAAAAATTGGTTCACAATATTTGTTTGATCAGAAATCCAGTTTTCAAAACCTCATTTTCTATTGGAATATATTTGTTTTTTTGTATCTGGAATTATTTGTGCAGCAAACGTTGAAACGGAGCTTCGGAACGACCGCTTGCTGGCACCGCACTATCGCTACTACGTAAGACAGATTCGTATCCTGGCATACAGTCAGCTGCTCGAATCCTACCGTTCACTCACCCTCGACTACATGGCGCAGGCTTTTGGAGTGTCGACCACTTTCATGGACAAGTTAGTTTGTGTTATTTCATCTCGCTTTAATGTGTATAAGTGAGAAAGTACGCTGCTGCACGCAGTCACGCACCATGCCAGACCACAATGCTATCTTGCATATTTCTGATAAAAAGTAACAAAATGCCATGGCAAAAATAATTGGAAGATTTTCAATCAAATTTGATTCTGTGCGAGTTCATTTATTAGCCATTATTGAAAATTGAATTAGATTAAAAAAAATAAGTGAGCAATGAAAGATAGCTTTATTAATAAGAGAAGGGAAAAACGAAAAATTGTATCAAAAATTAGCCTTTATTTGCCGCAATAATGTGACGAGTAACTTTATGTGACAAGTTAGTAAATAATTTTATTTTATTTAGAATGAACAACTTATATTACTGGTTCGTATCAACAATTCATTCTGTAGGTAATAAATAACACTTGGTTTTTTATCCGTGTACATATATTGTGTTGAAACTAAATTTTAATGCAACCAGAGTGAAAGATGAACATCTAGTACAAAAACATGATCTGTTGCACCTTTTTTTAGAAATTTGCGTTTGCAATCGCATGCTGAGGGCCGAGTTGTGATAAGAATATTTACACTCGCTTCAGGGAATTGTCACGGTTCATCTCTGGTGGGCACCTGCACTGCAAGATAGACAAGGTGGGCGGAATCGTCGAGACCAACAGACCAGACAACAAGAACTGGCAGTATCAGGCCGTCGTCAAGCAGGGAGACTCGTTACTCAATCGGGTCCAGAAACTTAGCCGAGTCATCAACATCTAAGTCGATGAATTCTAAAATAGATGGATTGTGACACATGAAATATATTTCGAGTAAAGTTTTGAAAGATCAATTTACAGCCACTGTGTTTCGCCCCAATTTATGTCGTGGCGCACACGTCGCCGCAGTCTATACGTGGCTACCACTTCATAATTGAAGTGGTAGCCAGCAGAACGCAACGCCAAGCAGGCATAATTATTGCCTGCTGTTCCATCGCTGATTTAAATACGTCACTTGTGCTTAGGGTCCGTAAATTGTTTGAAAATAAGTATGCATTACCCTAGTGTGAATCTTGGTTTATTATTTATATATTATACAGTCAAACATCGTTCATGCAGATTTGATTAATAGATTGATAAACCATTAAAATGGGTACTTTATTCATTTTCCTCTATGTAAGTAAAAGGGTATTCCCGTGAAAACAAAATAGCCAAATATTAAATTATCTCTACATTACTGCTTCAATTCAGTTTACCGTACAATGTTCACACAAATATGAAAAGGGATCAGATAAATATTAAAGTTTCATAACCATTCCAGTGTCCCAATATTCAACGCCGTTCGCATATTTCTATCAACCATTGAAAATAGCTGTGGTTATATATAGGAATGTACTCTTGCCGTCGCAAGCTTCACGCAAAAATAGGATTCCGCCCCACTCCCTCCGCATTGCGATTAATTTCGCTTTGTATCTTCAACTTCAGATTTTCGTGGTTCTGTTGATGCCCTTCCGGAGTTGGAAGACGCACGTCTTTCTGATGGTGCACTTGTTTCGTTGCTAACGCGAGATTTCACTTCAGATTCAGGAGATTTTTTCGATATTTTCGTCTCCTTGCAGCTACTCGAGAAAAGTGACGCAGCAGCGTCGCGAAGTGAGCCTGCTTGCCCCTGATAATTAGACCCTCTTACAGGCTTAATATCAGATAAAAATTGCGGCCGTGAAGAGTCCCCCTTTTTTGGGCTCTTGACAGCTTTATTATTTCCTCCAGCTCCAGGTCTCTGGGATTTACTCAAATGAAAGGACTCTACAAGTGTCCCTTCTTCCAAGTCCGTAATGTCCAACAGTGATACAGGGTCCAAAGATAAGTCACTTATGTTCAAATCGCTTTCATCCTTATCTGGTGTCTGCGGACTAGACGCTCTCTGGTTAGTAGCTTCATTTTTTCCAAAGAATGAGCTGGAAGATGCAGACCTTTGATTCGATTGCGGATTAGATGCAGAGGAATTAGCAGGTCCAGATACTGTGTTGAGTAAGGCCGCCGCCATATCCAGCTGCAGGGTGTCCAAAACGCTCGAAGCTATGGGGAGTAAAGGAACTGGCTTGCAAGGCCTGGGTCCTGCATTCCCGTTGTTTTTTGATGAGCAACTGGAACCCCACGATGATCGTGCACCTTGATGTGTCTTAGGTTTAACAGTGGGTAAATCAAGAAGTTGCAACAAAAGTGCTTCTTCTTCGCTAGAATTCGAGCGCTGCAAGTCCAAGGTAAGTGCAGATGCTGACGATGCTCCCGAGGAAGTTTCTGACGCCGAACTGCGTTGAGGATTTTTGTTTGGACTGTTGTTTTCGGTACGCTTCTTGGTGACAACGCCTTTCGCAGTCTGTAACACATTACTTCTACAACTATCGTACGAGTTATTTTTTGCACTTTGACATCCGTTACGACTTGATTTGACAGACGATCCATTCCCACTGGATAATTCTTGAACGGTGCTGGTGCTAGGCTCTTGCGCGCCAATGAATCTCATTGGTTTATATTTCTGTATTTCTGGAGGAGAATAATCGCCCGCAAATTTGCCAATGCAGCTGCTATTGAACCCATTAGCAGTATTATATGATTTAGATTTCTTCACATAGCAAGAAGTGGAAACTGGGCTGCTTTGCTGCAAAAGTGGAACGCGCGCTGCTGTGGCAGAAGCGTTCCCGTGCGAGTCCTCAGACAAACGAATCTTGTATGGATTAAACGGCGTCACAGCTACGATGTTCCAGAAGTCTCCGCCTGAACCGAGATGGTTGAACAAGGCATTTTGGCTCTCATTCTCAGCTTCACACAAGTCACGATATTGCAGCGAATGCAGATTTTGAGCGAGCGAGTCATTCAAATGATCAGCGAGTCTCAAGCTTTGAGCGTGCCCACCATCTGAATGTTGTTGGGGTATAAGTGGTTGAAGCTCCACAGCATCGTTGGTACTGCTCAGTACCGGCGTATCACCACTGTCATCACAACGATCCACTTCATCAACAGCCGTGGAAGTATCATCTTCGCTGTACGAATTTGTATCTCGACCGTCGTGCAGATTTTCAACGAGGTTTTCGCCCATGTTTGTTTCATTTTCCACGTCATTCTCTTCAGTAGCAGGTGTTATAAGGCCAGTGTCAGGAAGACTGTCATAGTCTTGGCTGTTGTCACCCAAGAAAGCGTCGTCGCAATCCTGTAGCTCACCTTCACTAGCCTGCGCAAAGAGCCTTTGCTAAGCAAAATCAAAAGTTAAGGAAATTAAATCGACGCTTAGACCATTTTGACGTCGTCATGAACAAAAGTTTGAATAGGTACTTCTTGGCAAGACAACTTTCCCTTTATATATCACGTACCCGTAATCACTATTAAATAATTCTTTGCAGCGTCAATTCGTTCAACTTGATAACAACACAGCCCAACATTTTATATTTTTTTATTCGATTAGTTGCTTACACTTTCCAACATCAGCTCATGTTTTTACAATTTATGACATAAGATTTCAGAAGATTATTATGCGAGATATCCAATCCAATATTGAAAAAGTTGATTGCCAAAATAAGAATCAACAAGTCTATCGTAAAAATACCTCAGAATCAGAAGACGCGGGAGTTCGGTGTTCTGCCATTTCTCCAGCACCATCACCAAGGGGCCCCACTACGGCACTAGCACCATCACACGCAGCAGCCTTGTGTCCCATCCTCAGTAACTGATGCATTTGTTGTTGCTGAAGAAAGGTTGATAGTGATGCAGTCAGGTTTCCTAAATCGATGGTAAACTTAGTGGTAGTCCCGTCGTCGGAAGTAGAAACATCCCGAATTATGGACGAAGCAGAGACGCCTGGCATTGACAAGTCGTCTGTTGATGTATCAGCATCATTGCACGCGACCCAAGACACGATTTCCTCAGGATTACTCAACGACGTTCCAGACCGCGTCTCTGCAGCTTCAGGAGCGTTGTTACTCACTCCTGCCGAATTGAAGGGCGTGAGTGGCACGCAAACATTCAGATGAGACAACAACGATGACAAACTGTCAACTGTGACCGTGGTGGTGGTACTCCCACTGCTACTACCTCCGCTCACTGACAACACAGTTGCTGCAGATGAAGATGACAGGCTCGTTGCAGTAACGGTTTCACCTGGTTTTTGGAGAATACTATTTACCAATCAATATTGAATTTAACACGGGGCAAAAGATTTTTATAAACCGCCGTCAGGAATTCAGCGTGAATAACGTAAGTGAATTAATTTTAATAAAGACTATAGAAATAATTCATGAATTTTTAGATGAAATTATGGAACAATTCAAGCACATTGATCAATATATAGACAGACAGAGACACCAAAAAAAATATGAAGATGAATGTAGTTTCAATCTGTGAGAGGAGAAGACGAAAAATTTTAAAGTAAATAGAAATAAATGTTGTTGCTAGAGAGAATTTCAGGAGTAAAGTTACCTTGTGGAGCAGAACTGCGGTTCGTTTCTGCAGGAAGCCTTTCCTTTGAGCTGGAGAGCTGACGCTGCAGCTGGTGAATGTACCACTGCTGGTCACGGCATTTCTGGAAGAAGGTCGGGGGTCTCACCTGGAACCTGGAAAATAATTTTATCAGAACCCGAGGGATTTCTGAAATTTCACTACAAACTTGCATAACTCATATTGATGAGACGAACCTCAATATGAGTGTCAGTCTCATGAGTGTCAGTTCCCAATGCTGTGGCGTGTACGTCGTGGGAGTACCATCTTCAGATGCAAATCACAGCAATCATCCTACTGCATCACAAGATGCAGTCAGTGCATATCACAGCAATCATCCTACTGCATCACAAGATGCAGTCAGGCTACACCGTTTTTTCGGTGACGCTGAGCTGGAGACCCGTCCTCTGGCTCAGGGAATACTTACTGCTGGCGGGAGATATTGAGAGTAATCCTGGTCCAAAGTAGATATGTAGCCTGTGCAATACCATCATCAAGAGGACACAGTGCTCACTTAGATGCAATGCAAGAGAACAGCATTGGGTTCATGAGAGGTGTGCGAAAATAAAGGCAGAGCAATACACAGAAAAGTGGACGTGTCAGCAGCACAAGGAGGAGGAGCGAGGAAAGAGGAAAATAAACCTCACACTACTACAGCTTAACATCAACGGAATAAGAAACAAACTTGAGGAACTGAAGGAAGTAGTGCAAAAAAAGAAACCGCATGTCATAATGATCCAGGAGACCAAACTTCAAGAACAGCACAAAACACCAATACTGGAAGAGTACTCAACAGTCAACAGTCAGATGTGATAGACCACAAGGAAATGGCGGAGGAGGGTTGCTAACCTACATCCATAGCAATCTTCAATTCAGGGGAGCTCACCAACTTCCAAACCTATATTAATGGAGCAGAGAGATCTGTAGTGGAAATAAGAGATGGAAGGAACTTCACATTGAGACTGGCGAATATATACATACCACCAAGAGATCTCAATGCTGATCAGGATGAAATAAGAACAAATCAGTGCATCCAAGAGCTACTAACAGCTGATACCATCCTAGCAGGAGATGTGAACGCGCATGCTCCTCTCTGGCACTCCAGCATCACAGATGCCAGAGGAATATACATAGAAGAGCTGCTACTCACCTCAGATATGACCACGATGAATGAAGAAACACCTACTAGAATACCATTTGATCAGACACAAAGACGAACATCGCCAGATATCACAGTACTCTCACAAGACCTGAAGAGATACTCAAAATGGGAAACGATGACAACAACATCATCAGACCACCTCCCAATAATACTGGAAATACAAACCCACAATAAGGAAAAGAGTATAAGAAAACAGAAGACCTATATTAATTTCAAGAAAGCAAAGTGGGATTGCTACAAAGAATATGTTGACAGTATGCTAACAGTAGACGATGGAAGACCATATAACATCGGAGAGGCAACAAAGAGAATAGAACTGGCAATAAGGAAAGCAAGCAAGAAATTCATACCACAAGGAAATGTAAAATTAAANGCATGAGGCGTACATTGGCGCAGTTAAGGGCGGGGAAATGCCCAATGCTTAGAGAATACCTCAATAAGATCGATGAGGCTAATTACCCAACACCATCATGCCCTCTGTGTCAAAACCACACCCACAACACACAACATCTGTTTGGGTGTGCTGAAATTCCAACCAGCCTGCAGCCTGAAGATCTATGGAATAAGCCAGTGGAAGTGTCCCAACTGATCAGAGTGTGGCAAGACCGGCTTGGCGCTCCGGAGGGGGGTGGGCCTGGGCGGCACTCAGTCGAGTGACATTATGGTGATCATCATCAGTGTCAGTCTCCCCGAAAAAGATCTCATGATAGCAATGGTGAGACGAAGCTCAATGAGAGTGTGTCAGTCTCACCTTAAAAAAATCTCATGATAGCCGCGGTGAGACGAACCTCAATAAGAGTGTGTCAGTCTCACCTTAAAAAGATCTCAAGATAGCAATGGTTAGACGAACCTCAATGAGAGTGTGTCAGTCTCACCTTAAAAAGATCTCATGATAGCCGTGATGAGACGAACCTCAATATGAGTGTGTCAGTCTCAGTGTTTAGGTAGCCTTCAGCCGCAAGCAAGTCGAGCCTGAAGAAGCGGTTGTAGCCCCAACACTCGGAAACATCGAAATCTGATGAAAACTCGCGGACTATATTGCGCGTGGCGTCCCGTGACCCTTGGTGTATCATTTCCACGCGGTATTCGTACCTGCATGATGATTGAAAGTTAGTACAGGAACAAAATTAACAGAAATCAGTTGCCAAAAAACGGTTTCATTTCTAATACTTCATTCATAAGCAAAGAAGATTTCTGACAATATAATAAAACAAATTTCCAATTGAGTGAAATTAACTTTCATTCAGTATTATTTAACGTAGATTCACTAATGATAAAAAAATTAATTCCCAAAATTGCTTTCATCGAGACATCCTCTATGATGCACGCATTTATAATATACAAGCTATGACAGGGTGTAACACTATCAGGACTGGAGCGACTTACTTGGATGTTTCAGGCAAGCCTGCTGTGAGCTCTAGGAAGACCGACAGATAATTGCCTCTGACGACGCCGTTGCCGTCCGGGTAAACCTGCATACACATAAAAACGTTTGATTAAAGACCAGATAATGCTTTTGTTTATAATTTTTTCGTTTTTATTTTTTTCCGCGAGCAAAACAATGCTTCCTAGCCGGCTTTGGAAGATCATGACATTCTAATATATTACGACGCCTATAATACATAATAATCGTAATCAAGTAAATGAAAGTTTGCAACAAGATAAATTGAACTTTTGGAATTACTAACGAAGAGTATTGTTGATACAATATACCAGTAAATACAAACATACTCTTTTAAGCCTTCAGATCCCACGATAGGGATAAAAACTACTTCATTGATGTGCTCCGATTTCATAGCTAATGGCGACTAACTCCACAGATGAACAACAGTCAACACTAACACGAGTTTCACATTTTGTTGTAAATGGAGAACGTTGACGTTGGAGTAGTGGTTAATAAAACAGAACAAAGCATTTCACATCCTTGTATTGCACGAAAGATTTTGAATTAAAAAGTTTCAATCCTACACATGTTACATTACAGTTTCCATATTACATCAACACTTTTTAATTCAATTCTATATATTCACGGAATCATTGATTATAAAATTCATTTTTGTAGCTGTGTCTTCCCTATTTTATAAAAAAACGTGTATTTTTTAAATACTTCATATTTCAAAATCAGATTTTCTCAGGTCTAAAACGATTTGCAATATCCTCTGTGCCCAATTTTTTATTCTTACAGTCGAACAAATTGTGTTATTAAAATAAATTTGTAGCAACAAGGAGAAAGAATGTTGCCAGCAGCTCACCTTGAGTCGCCAGGCAAGTCCATTGACCTGCAGGGTGGGGGAGTACACAGGGTCAGCTTTGTGCTGCAGCTGAGAGAAGTTGCTCAGCACAAACGTGCTCGACTCGTACTCGGGTACGATCTCGCTGCAAGCCAATCAATAAATAATTTGGACGTACAAGCCGGCCTTCAAATATAAAAAAAATTATCCTCAAATTAGCATATTGTGACGAAAAAGGACAGCACGGAAACTTTAATGGAAATTTCGTATTGTTTGTACGACTATTAAATTTTGTTTTATCTGAACAAGTATCAGAGCATCTTTACTTCATACGTATATCACAAACGTACTTGGCTAAGAACTATAAAGGAAATGATTGTAGAATCATGTTGATCGCCAAGTATAAAATGATTGGTGAACAAAAAAAGTAATTGTATGTACATATTTTTATCTAAACCTCAATCATTGAGTGATGTGAACACCGAATAATATCTTTAAGTTGAAGCTTAATTCAGGCCTGATTGCCGCAGTTTGATTTTGCTATCGCCACCATATCATCTGTAGCATAGACATTAATAAATAAATATATACACGCCCAAATCACGTTGTATCATGTGATTTATTTATCACAGAATTCAACAAAAGTAATTGGATATAGCGTCAATTACTTTCATGGAGATATCCTCTATGATGCACGCATCTAGAATATATAAGCTATGACAGGGTGTAACACTATCAGGATTGGAAGTAAACAAGTAAGAAGTAAAAATCCACCTCTGAAAGTCGGCAGGTACAGGCGCCGTCACGAAAGAAGCCATGGGCTTCTTATTCAGCGGCGCCACGAGAGAGTGAAGCTCGTCTGCTCGTTGGATAAGCTCTGACCTGCAATATAATAGAGGCGTTTAGAGGTGACAGTAATGGCTCGCAATATTATAGTTACTAATGCAATATAATAGAGGCGTTTAGAGGTGACAGTACTGACTCGCAATATTATAGTTACCAATGCAATATAATAGAGGCGTTTCGAGGTGACAGTAATGGCTCGCAATTTCACATTCACCTAAGCTAAGACGATGCTGTTGATACTAAGCTGCTGTTCAACATCGTTTCATTATAAGTTTAGTTATAAGTAAAGTATATCAGTTAGAGCCCATTTGCCGCACTAGAAAGCTTTTAAATCCAAGTAAGGTTATAAATAAAAGATAACAGTTAGGCCCATATGTCGCACTAAAGAGCTTTTAAATTCATGTATAGTTAAAAGTAGAGTTCAGCAGCTAGAGCTCATATGCCACACTAGACGACTCTTATAACTGGAGCTTTAATAAATCCCAAGCACAGTTTATAAATAACAAGAACACACGTAAAAATTATAATAACAAGTAACGTTTATGAATAACATACTTGGTGCATGTGTGGAGCTGCTGCTCTATCTGATGCAGGAAGGTCTCGAGCTGCTCCATCTCCTGCGTAAGGCTATTCTTCTGCCCCATGAGCGTGACTATCTTGCTCTTAAGCTGCGAGTCCAGCCTCGCTATCATCAGCTCCACGGCGTTGCGAATCTCCTTCACTCGCTCGTCTTTGGCGCCGCGCACTGACTCAACATTGCGTTCCTGGCAAGATATCACAATGTTAATTTATTACCGAGTCTTCCTAGCACATAGTAGCCTAGGTATTTGATATCTTAAAGATAGAACATTATCTACATTACATTACAGAGCAGAAATTGAGGTTTCTAAGGTTTCAGCGAAAGTTTTTCATGAATTCCTTGAACGAAATTAAGAAATAAATAAAAATATTATAAATAATTGGCCATAGCTAATAGCCAATAAGACTATTTTCATACTGAACTCTTTTCTCAAACGACTAAAATAAGAAACATTCCAGAGACTCTCAATCAGTGAATAAATTGAAGTTCAGCAACCAAACTTACTGGATAAATAAAATTATTTTGATGGATGGAAGGATTGAAATTAAAAAATGCCCTTACAAGAAATCGAAAATAGATATTGTAAAATTAGTGAAAAAATGTTTAGTGTTCACCTAACTTTTTAAAACTAAACACTTCTGCAATTTCCACTTTAGAATTATTCAACTTAAAAATTGAACAACTACAAATCTTTCTAAAAAAAGAAACATATATTAATAAACAAATAGGAACAAACCTCGTATAAATGGGAATATTCCTTCTCTGCACTCGTTAAGTGAATATCTAACCATAATTACCACTTCCTGCACCAAAGCAACAAATATCTGATAATAATTACCACTTCCTGCACCAAAGCAACAAGCATCTGATGATAATTACCACTTCCTGCACCAAAGCAACAAATATCTGATGATAATTACCACTTCCTGCACCAAAGCAACAAGTTCATGCAGCCGTCGTCTAAGCTGCATGACTTCCTCCCTCAGCTCAGTGACGTAGCACTGATACACCTCCTCCAGAGGGCGCAAGCTGTGGCCTGCATGAAGGCCTCCCCACAGCGCACAGCGATGACACATCACAACGCAGCATGTCCAGCAGTACACCGATAACTTTTCAGAGTGTTGACTGCATCTGCAAAGACACCATTATGCATGACTTTCAAATTGTCTAAATTTGTTCAACAAACAAACAATATTTCTGGAAGCCATTTTATTTCTGTAAAAAAAATCGGCTGCAAAAATATACCATAACATACTGTTAACAAACAACCAGGGATACTATTTATAACATGAAATGCTACACAAACACTAGTAAATGCAGCCAAAATTAAGTGCCATCATTTCACCAGAGTTTTAATGATTCAGAATCTTCACTACACTCAATACCCTATTTTTTGAAAGTAAAAATCATTTTGTATCCTTGTATACTAGCAAGAAAAGCTGAAGGTCTAAGTAAATTAAATCTTTTCAAAGGGTATACTTGGAGGTATATCATTAAAAAAGGACAGTTATCAAATTGATGGAATCATTGTACCTCTCCTTGTCATGCTCAGAAACTTGTTGAGAAGTAGGAGGTGGCCGTGATTGCTGCAGAGATGCCAGCTGCTGTGTTACTTCCTCAACCTGTTAAGGTGTTCAGAAGTCGCCCCCACACCCTACCACAGCTAAGGGAATGGATTATTGCAGCAGAGGTTATGGCCATACCTCGCCACATGTGTGAACGTGCTGTAGAAAACTTCCAAGAATGACTCCAACAGTGTGATGCAGCTAACAAACCCAGTCTTCCTGATATTGTTTTCAAAACATAAGTAGGTATTTTAAATTGTATGTTATGCTAATCTTGAGGAAAATAAACTTTCTTCTTTATGTACTTCCATTACTCTTATTTTGCCTCAAAACTGTTCAATCAGTTCTGCCCCACCCTGTATAAGCTAGCTAACACATTTAAATTGTATATTGTAATTGATATACCTATAACAAATAGTCAAATAGTTAGAGACTACTTATAGCCTTATAAGAATTAGCTAAGCTGCGTACAATGTATTGCACACTTGATGCTTCTGTACCAAAAACATTCAATTTATGGAACCTAATACACACTAAAGGCAACAAGTTTATACATATACCAATTTGTCATTCATAGTAGGTACATTTATACTAAACCATGATAACAATACCTCAATATAAATTAAAGACTGCCACTCAATATATTTAAATACATGAAAAAATAAAAAATCAAAAAAATCAAAAAATCATGATTTTTATAAAAAAAATCAAGTGATTTAATCACATGATTTAATCATTGCCAACCCTGCTTGCGAGACAATAAATAAAAATGTTAACCTTTATGCACAAATACATTAATGCATCATAATTTGTTCTGCTTACCCAACGACAATTGACCAGATCTTCAAGATGCAAGGAGGCTCGGCAGTGAGGACATTCTGAGCGCTGTTCAGTGAGCCAACGACGCACACACAAATAGCAGCACAGCTTTGAGCAGTGAGGACACAAGTGCGCATCACGCAGCTTTTCCATACATATGATGCAGCGAAAAACTTCAGCAATGGACTGGAAATGAATGTTATACATTAGGAATAAATTCTTCAAATAGCATCATAATATAAGAAAAATACAGCATCTGGAATATACATGAAATAATACATGAAATATGTTGAGTGTGAAGGAAATTTTTGTTTATTGAATATATTCACTGGTGACTCTTCATAAATTTTGATGTTCCGATGCAATTTACCGGTATCAAGCAGCTATCCTAATAATAATGCCAAGTAGGTAGCCATCTTTGAAACACTATTAAAGCATTTCAGTTATTAGACAATAAATTCAACAGCACAGCAGAACTAAATCTTCAAAAGCAAACTAATAATTCATGAATAATTAAGAATAGTAATAATAGCTTAACCATGTTCCAATCCTATGTTAATTTGATAAAATAAAGATATTAATCAAGCATGACAACATACCTCATAGCTTGAGTCATTTTTCTTCTCCCTCAGTGACATTTCTAAAGAATGATTGGTCAGAGGGCAAAGTTGAATGATCAGTTAACTATCCCATTCAACCTCATCAAATTCAATTTTAATGAAATCAATTTTAGGTTATATTAACAGGTCTAAATGATCTAATAATTTGAAAATATTGCAAAAAATCTTGTGGGGAAAAATTGAAAATATATATATTTACAATCATATTAGTTAATTAAATTATTGAATTTCATCTAAATCCACATAAGTTTAGTGAAGAATATATGTAACTGCTGGGTGGCAACTTTTAGTACCTTAATGGAGAGTAAATATTAACTGAGCCATAAGTATAAAGATCACTTGATTGCATAAATTGTACATTTATCAAAAATCTACAAGCAAAGACTGCCAAAAAATTAACATTTTCCAATGATCATCCCTAGTTTATCAATATATTTGTGTGTGGTGCGCATCTGTGTATGTTGGTATGACATTGCACAATTTCTATACTAGGCTGGGCATATCTCATTCAGCTGTATAGCTAAATAGTGACTTCAAGGTTTTAGCTTCCACTTCCAGTGTTTCCAATTTGTGCAATTGAGAATCATTGTAAATTTTTAAACAGAGGTCTAGTTTAAATTCTGCTTTTAGTTCTTACCCACTTGAAATGGGAAATAGATAGGTTTTACCATTGTTTTTTAATCTTGACTGTACTACGGTAATTAGTGATTTATCTGTGATCTTTAATTCTTGAACCGACAATGGAGCTGCACTCTGAAATGTTTTCTAAAAAGATAGTAAGAATTTTTGTGAAGTTTTTTTGCTTTTTAGTTTTTAATGTCTTGGTTAACTTAATACCCATCTAGAATTTTAATTCTACACTGAATATGCATGTCAGTGCTTGTCACCAAATACAGCATGGCTACATCTGCAACATCGACAATCTCAATTAAACTGAAGGTTTAAACTGAAGATTTAAACCAACATTTTATGTATGATAATTCTGGTATCCATGCTAATTTCCTGGTTTACTTATAGGACTCATGAACACAGTGGCATTCCAGAAAATGTTTAGTCATTTAGCCTTTAGGTACACCAGGCCAATCAGAGCACTCCACCCTGGCAGCTGGCTCAGCGCTGGCCGCTGGTGCTGGAGCACTGCAGGTGCAGTGCACTTTTCCGGGGCATCCTGCTTCTTTTGGAGGGAATGCAAATATATTAGAGGAAGACTCTAAAAACTTCTCTGCTTGGGGCATCCTGCTTCTTTTGGAGGGAATGCAAATATACTAGAGGAAGACTCTAAAAACTTCTCTGCTCTGTCACTATGTTAGAGGCTAGGCTAGTTTAAAAAATTTAAGGAAAAAACATGCATTCACAGTGTAGTAAGGCATGGACATAAAGCTAGCCATAAATAGGGGTGCGCTTGCTCCAATAAGAGCGGGATGGCTGTGCGCTCCAAAATGAGTGAGCTGGCAGCAGTGGCAGCATTTTTGTACTGCTTAAATAGGAGTGGGACGCCTGGACAAGTGCTTTACAGTGCTTCAGCACCCAAATAACAGCCATTACAAATAAGTGCCCCATCCTTAAGGGGAACATCTGGGTCAAATTTTATTTCAGTTACTTACAGACAGATTACTTTGAAACTTGATTCACATAAGTAAACAGAAAAATAGACTGCTTTTATTCCTGTCAATTTTTTGAAAAAATGAAAGAAAACGTGAAATTCTTAGAAAATGGCCAAAAGGGGGTACCATAGGGGATACTGGGGTTTGGGGGTGCTGTTTCTAGGGTAAAATTAGAGATTTAGGATGACACGTGCACAGGACTTTGTAAATGAATTTGCGGCTTGTAAATGGCTCTTCATGGCCAATGATGACCAAAAAAATTTTTCGGCTTGAAACCTACATAAATAGTTAAACAATTTAGTTTACAAGGCAGCAAAAAAAATTTGAACCAAATCGGAGTAGCCGTTGCCGAGAAATGAGGCAAAAAGAGAAAATTTAATGGCCCTCTATGTTTCCCTGGTATACTGAGTAGGTATAAAGTTGAAAAATACAAGTATCAATATGCATACCGTACTGAGAGCACAGGTAAAAACCGGGGGGAGGGGGACCCCAAATTTAACTACGACAGCAACCTATGGAATTCACGGCTTAAAGAAATGGAATCAAGGCTTGCAAATCCATAAAACCATGGCTTGAAAACTCCAGGCATGGTTCAGAGAGTAGATATTTTGTTTACTAGTTTGACTGCCTCTGAGTTGCACACCCAAAAGCTCGGCCATCCCAGTGGATCTGGCCGTCCGGGACTTAACTTCACTTAAGCCTATAAAACAGGATGAAATTCTATAAATTAAGGTTCATATGGTATATTATTTTCAATCCATCTCCACCATTTTTTAGCTCCAAAAATTTTAGTTAAGATAGAAAGGATAAAAATAGGAAATTAGGAAAGATTAAAATTACACTTGAAAGAATCAAAAATGAAGGTTGCAATACTTTAAGATTTCAATTAGACCAAATAATAATTTATTAGCTATTTGTCTCAGTCAAACAAATGAACATTTATGAATTAATAACAAATCACGCCACCAGTAAGAGTGCAACATGATGCACTGCAATGCTACTTTGTGGGAGCCACATCTCATACATGCTCACTCAGTGAAAGCTAACCAGCAACTGTGTTTGAGGGTTGGGCCAGCAATGCTGAATCTGCTTCTGGAAGTACAACAATGCAAGTTGCAACAGTAATATTATGGTATGTAAGTACTGTAGTATTATGGTTACAGTATTTAACATAAGTATTATGGTAGTTTCACATATGTATTCAGGAACAGATTCTGAAAATGAGACTGAAATGGAAGTAACATTTCCATTCTTATATGTAAATGGGATTAATAAAAAACCTATTAATCCATTCATTGTCATTCAATTTGGGATGTATGAGTGACAATTTTACCTTCCTTCCTATGATGGCCATAATGATGCTCATTTTTACCAGCTGCAGTTGTAGAATTAATTTAAAGTAAAATAAATAGAGTGAAATTGAATTTTTATTAAATTTAATTATTTAATACATCACAAGGTACATGCAGTAGAATTAAATTATGTTAAAAAATGTTTAGTTAAAATTTTAATTAATACCTATTTTAAATTAAATTTCATTAAATTAAATTTTCATTAAATTAAATTGAATTCTTCAACACAACTCATGGTACAAGCCTAAGTGCTCAATGATTAAGTAATGCAATAATTTCCGCTTCAACAACAAACATTTTCTAAAAGACAGGATACATTCAAAAACTCTTGATGGGAGACAAAATTGTTCAGAATCTGAAGTGAAGTTATTTAGACAATATCATCAATAGGGCAAAAACATGAAAAAATTCACATCTGGATGTGTACACAATACACATCTGTCACATCATATCTGGAACACATCTCTATATCCTACTATAGTACGTATAGCCTATATCTTCATAAGATTAGCAAGTCAAAAACATATGGGAACCCATTATTTTTATTTTCGTAATTAAGTAGTGTTCAATATTCATTAGTGTTCTAATTCAAAGCCGTGTTGTATTCCATTCGAACATGTGGATGACGGCATTACGTATCAGTAGAATTTGAAGCGCGGACGTAATACGCCTCACCACGAGCTGAATATTGCCACACACAGTGAGTCAGTGATGAGATATAGGGATTTGGTAGGTTTCCATTCTAAAGGCTTTTAAATAAGTATGGCAACATTTTGTGACGTTTCGTTGTTGCTGGCGCGTAGTACGGTGTTTTGCGAGTCAAATAAAGCAAACAGAACTCGAGTAACGCATACAGTTATTTTTTTATCGTTTTTCATTTCTCAATGCGTCCTTAATGTGACGGAATATACCGCGTTTACCCTATATTATTTTTTTAATTGAGATTCTACTGTACCTAAAAATGCCAATTGCCAATCCATAACAGAACTTACAGAAGGATCATCATTCTGTCAACTGAGTGTAAAATTGAGTGAAAACTAGGCCTACATTTGATTTGCAATTTGGCCACAGTAAGCCACTGGTTTTGTTAGTGGTCAGCGGCTCAATGCTTGCAGTAAGTTTTGCCTTTTCATGGCCCCTGCCAATGCCAGGCTCAAGCTGCCAAATGCCAATGCCTAAGGTAGGGTAAACGCGGTATATTCCGACACATTAAGGACGCATCGAGAAATAAAAAACTATAAAAAAAACGTATGCATTACATAATCTCAATATTTTCCCACTAGATGGCCAAGACCTAGTGTTTTGGCAGTATTTTGACTCGCAAATGTATGACGTCACCATTTCAACCATCAACAAACGCATGGAACTAAAACAAAGCTTAATATAAAGGGAAAGCTGGAGAGGTGACGGAATTACCTACGATGTCGGAATATACCGCGTTTACCCTATAGGGATTTGGTAGGTTTCCATTCTGAAGGCTTTTTAATAAATATGGCAACATTTTGTGACGTTTCATCATTGCTGACGCGTAGTGAAGTGTTTTGAGAGTCATGTGAAGCATAGTGGCAAAGCAGAGAGTTTTTAAGACTCTCCCTCAAGTTCATTTTTGAGTCCTATAAGTAGACCAGGAAAGTATCATGGATACCAGTACCCATAGTGACAAACCAGAGATTTTTTAGAATAAGTTCATTTTTAATTTCCTCATTTACTTAAGATTTAAACCAATTTCTTATATATGATAATGCTGGTATCCAGGATACTTTACTGGTCTAATTATAGGACTGAAAAATGAACTTGAGGGAGAGTCTAAAAAACTCTCTGCTTTGCCACTATGCCAGCACCATCATACATAAGAAATCAGTTTAAATCTGGGGTATATGAGGAAATTAAAAATGAACTGATTCTAAAAAATCTCTGGTTTGTCACTATGATGTGAAGGCAACAGAACTTACGTAACGCATACAATTTTTTTATAGTTTTTCATTTCTCGATGCGTCCTTAATGTGTCAGAATATACCGCGTTTACCCTACCCTATTCCAATCAGATTTTTTTTATTTTGCCTGTAAAATAATAACTTTTGCTTGCACCCTATGAGAAAATTCTGTTACACATTATATTATTTAGGATTTGATGAATTTTAAGGGCAAATCCACAAATGTAATATGAGATTTATGAGAGATTTCTACAATTCACTGAAACTGAATCAAGCTAGCCTAATTTGTAACTTGTAAGGTCCTAATCTACTTCAAAATTTTATTTAGTAATACTAATACTAAAAAATGCTGTAACACTTTGCCTTCCCAATTAAAAACATAGTTATATAGTATCATTATTACTGTATGGTGAAAAGGAAATAAATAATCCATTTAGGGCTTTAGGCCTAGCTACTAACATTGAAGAAACACTCAAGAATAAAACTCTCCAGTTTTATTCTTGATCTGCCCTAACTCCTATAGCCTGCAAAAACTGCAGGAAGAATTGAAATGGAATAGCATTAACATCGTCAAGATCAGCGAACCAGCCATCATGGTAACAAAGTGCTTTAACGAAAGTGAGTCTGAGAGAGATTGAGAGGCAAAGCAGGTCAACATGTAAGGTAAAATTGAAATATGTAACGCAGAGAGGATACTAACAAGCACTTGAAATTTGTTAGAACAATAATAAAAGTTAAACGTCAACTTTAACACACAAAGTGCAACAAAATATCAATCAGGTCTTGATATTTACTTTACTGTTAGCTATACCTTAGAAAATCATATTTGCTTATCACTCTACGAAACACCACTCTATTTCAATTAAATATATGCATGCCTACTAAGGCTAAAGCTCAATATTTGAAAAGGTTTTTAACATCTTTAATATAAGATGCATATTTAAACAATTTCATGTTACATAGTAGGCTGATGCAATATCAATATTTTGATGAAGGAAAATAATTAGCATTATCGGCAGGATATGTTTTAAGTGAATATACCATAGGTGTGTTGGAAAAATATTTTTGAAATCAATATAAAAGACGTCAAGAGGCGAGTAATAAAACTCTTGGCATCATTAAAAGGCAAACCCTACTCAGATAGGCTCAAGACGCTGAAATTACCGTGCTTGGAACAACGCCGGCTGAGTGGCGATATGATTGAAGTTTATAAATACCTGTATGGCTACTATGACGTCTCACGCCCGAGTTCTGCGATGGCTACAGCAAGAGACCTCCGAGGAAATTCTCTCAAGCTACAAAAGAGCCACTTCAGACTGAACATTAGAGGTAACTTTTTCGTTCAACGTATTATCACAAACTGGAACAGCTTGGCAGAGAATGTCGTCAAAGCACCATCTGTGGATACTTTCAAAAGTCTCCTTGAAAAACATTAGCTTCATCTGCCTACTCTCTATGCTCCTTCATGCCAGAACTAGACACTAACATATTTTTTGCAACCCAGCCGCCCCCGCATTGTGCTAATAGTACAAAAGTTAGTATAATCTCGGAGAGCCGAACAGGCCCCTGAGAAAAGCCTCAAGCGTCTAACTTGTTTGGTGGTGCACGGCCAAGTTTCATGCAGTTCCCCCGACGAGCTAAGCTGATTGGTCACAGTCCGTCGTTTGCTGGTTACAGTTCGAGCTATAAGGTGCTTATACACGAGGCGACTAGTTGCGTTGATTAGTTGAGTCAACTAGTGGACAATTGTTACACTCTGGACCATTCGCTTCAAAATATGGTGGTATACAGCTCTTAATATTTAGAGCCAGATGATGTCATGGGCTAGTTACTGACGACTGACTTAATCCGCGGCTGGTCGCATACAGAAATATGCTGGGCGTTCCATTCAAGGGTATTTGGTGCACCGAATTAATGGTGCACGGCTGCGCTCCCGATTATTCCTGTACTCTGGAATAATCGTGCAGCAGAAATGAATGTTCAAATGCCTTGCCAAATTTTTCAGCAAATATATGCACGTTCATGGTTGCCGAGTGCCGGAACTACCACGGAAAAATTAAAGCTACCAAAATTGTTTAGTAAAACAAATACAGTTTCAATCAAACACTATTAGTTCAATTTTGTAACAACATTAGTGTCGAATCGGTCATAATGCGGTCAATCTCAGATACAGAGCGAATTGGTAACAGAAATGAGAAGCAAAGCATGCAATGGCATTAGAAATATGAATCGCTCTAAATAGTGTTACTTTAATAAAAAATTAGACTATTCAAGATGGTAATTAGGAATATTCAAATCATTGGTTTGCTTTAATAGGAAAACTTGTATTTTATTTGATTATACTGACTTGATGAGGGAGGTTTAGGTGTAATGATGGAGCTATTCTCTAATTTCCAATAATTTTATGGTGAATATAGTTGGCATGTTCATTATTTTAATAATGGTTTAGTGGTAAAAATGCGCAGTGAAATTTTCCATGCTGGTGCATGAAGTGCTGAGGGAACTCTGTCAATAAATCTTGGAAGGCTGAAGAAACTGCTTTCCGGAAGAAGAAAAATTAAAAAATCTAGAAATATGAAAACGAGTGCAATAGAATTTTTTTTGTTCCAACTCACGCCAGAATGATAAATAAAAGCTAATTTATGTTAATTGATCAAATAATATAGCAAACACACAACACGAAATCAAGACATATCTGTAATAACAATAGCGATAATGCATGACAATTCTAGATACATTGCAATCTAAAATGAACATTATATGTATAATTATCGAATTTGGCACCCAAAATGGTCTCATAGAATGGATCTTACAGCAGAAGAATTAGTTACAATGGGATCAATTCACCAGGCAAACCAGAAGACAATTACTCTTGTAGGTTGGTGCCCATTCATTAATGATATTGTAGCCGAAACTTCATTATGACATAGATATGGTACTACTGAATCTCTAGGTTTTTGGAAGTCATAAGGGGATTACAATTTATCCATTCGGAAATAGAGACAAATTATTTTGCTTCTGAAAAACTTTTAAGACTAATTTTAGAAATGTAATCCACAGTAACAGAATTACAGCTAGCAAAAATATCTAAGAAAACAATATGCAAATTCAACTTCTAGGAGCTTTACGTCATTCTCACATTTAGTCAACGAAACAATATACCAGTTATGAACTGGGTGATCAGAAAAATAACATGTATAATAAACATAGTTCTTTTCATTTTAAAGCAGTCCTGAGAAAATTGCCAATAATAATTCCCTATTTTATGTTCAAAATAATTTGCAAAAAATTTTACACGAAATAAGTTACAGAGGATAAAGCATTAAAAATACAATGATGTAGGCTGGAATCATACGGATCGCGTACATGGATGGTGCGACCATCGTTCTAGAGATGTGGTAGCTCTATACATCATACGGGTTTTTGATGAATACACGTTACCTGCTTTATTATTAAAATACAACATTACATCCCAAACAAATTAGATATCGAGCAATCAAAGAACAAAACATTGAGGTGAAATCATGGCAGTGAACATTAAAACTAAGCAAGCAGAAATGGCCAAGACCAAGAAGAGTGAAGCAGAATCAAGTTTGCAGATCAGAAAAGGTTGGAAATCTCGTAGCAGATGTTGAAAGTCAGAACGCGAAAAAAGAAGCAACTAGTAGACATGCAGAATAACGAGTCGCTCTAGCCTCATTTCAAATTGAGCGTGATGAATAAATAGGCAATCGTATTAACAATCAAGCTCGTTGGCCAAGATACTGCCCATCGATTGACAAACGATGATGCGACACTGAAATAGGAAATTAGGTGAGCTCGCCTTTCATAACGAGACAAAATTAACAATTGGTGGAATCAAGTGGAATGAGTGACAAATATGAGTAGGTAGTGCTATTAAACTTAGGAGCCCAGTTATTGGCAAAAAAAATAGTAGAAGAAAAAGAGCGAAATGAACAATTATTCACGTTATGGCAATGCAAGCTTTATTTTAATACAAAAGAAGAACAATGAAAATAGACTAAATGCATGAAAACTCACAACCAGGAAAAATCGGATCCGTTAATGTTCAGTAGCCATTATATTTTGTTCAGGCTTTAAACAAAATGTAGAATGTTCAAGTAACTACCAAGAGTAAATCGTTGAGCGTAGCAAGCAATCGCTTACCAGCTGACACAAATCAAAGCCAGGGCAGGTCTGCTTGCGTGTATTTTGTTTGTGAGTTACTTTTATTGGTAATTTGCATCTACCTTCAGATAACGTATATATAAGTAAATCTGAATGTTTTGTATGCGAGTTCATTGAGCTTGTGGCCGTGAGCTTATTTTAGCTCGACTGCCATAGAAGCAACAACATAATTTGAGTAAACGGGGGAGCAATAGAGTTTTGTAGTCGCAAGCAATAGAGTTTTGTAGTCGTAAGCAATAGAGTTTCGGAGCCGAGAGCAATAGAGTTCTGGAGTAAGAAGTAGGGCATGGCTGGAGAATACGAATCGCTGGGCGATGTCGTAGCAAAGGAGAGACGTTGTTAGGTCAGAGCTCGGATGGCCGTGTTGCGCTGGCTGTAAGATAAATCAGTGAATTACGTAGAGAAATTTATTGTAACATAATCGGCGGCAGTATACAAGAAGCCCAAGTCCCGTTTAAATGGTAAACTTTTTCAAGTATGAAACTAGTAGTTGTGAAATTTAAGCTTACCAACCTGTGCCTATTCGAAACATTACGGTGTTACTTGTAAAATTGGTGGTGTTGGCCCCGCATCAACATTTCACGAATCACAAGTGATTGCCCCTGAAGCATCTTTTGTGATGCTTCACCTCTCTCTCTCTCTCTATTACACCTCTGTTGACTACGCAGAAAGTTTGCCTGTACTTAGTGAATGCTTCACCTGACGCCTGCCACTCGCTTGCTGTTGCTCTGTTCAGGACGGGCGCGGTTGAGCACCTTCAGGAAGTCGGAAGTCTTGGCCCTCATGCGCGTGTGAATGTAGGCTTTACTGCACTTGATGTGATAGTGGAGGTAGTCGCGGAACATGTGGATCAGGTTGATGGTGTTCTCACGAGCAGCTTTGTTTGTGTGGCGAGGGAACAGCACTGTAAAAAATCCCGCACACAATGAAGAATAGACAGTACCTTTGTGCAAGAAATCTACTGCACTGAGAACTCTTTTGAAAAGTGAATTCAAATAAAGATACATTGCTAAAATTAATATTTTTTGTAGTGCACAAATTCCAATTCCAATAATGTAGTAATGTAAAAATATAATTTACACACGTTTTAACTGTTAATTTTGCCCAAATACAGAGTAACGCATGCCGAATACTTCATTAGGAAGGTATAGTATAGATACTTCCATAGATGTAAAGCCTACTAAATCGAAGGATCAATAAACATCACAGAAATCCATCAATCACAGAAAAAAACTCACCAAAAGTAACATATCCAATATTTTCGCCAATCCTAGCATCAGTGTCGTGCAGTTCCAGAGGCGGCTCCTTGTGAGAGAAGAGCACCTAAGGGGACATCAATGTCTTTCAATGAGTAGGCAGAGCCTAACACAGCAGTCCATCATATCAAAAACTTTAGAGGTAAGGGTCATTATGTCAAAAAAAATGAGTCAATTCCATTCAAGACAAGCATTTGGAAAACTAGAATCTGACAAACCCAATCAATTCATACAGCAACAAATTTACTTGAATTTACAGAACCTCAATATCCTTCAACATTTTAATGGCTGCATTTCTTTGAGACTCGGATGAACTTTCCAATGAGACAAACCTGTGGCGCAGTTTGTGATCCTCTCTTGCCTTCTTTAAACTCCTGCATGAAGACCTTGCCAATGACGACATCGTCAGGGTCTTTGAAAATTGTAGAGAAGACCACAGTAACTCGGTCAGGCTTTGACTCAATGTACCTAGAAAATGTAATAACTTTTATTTTTTGCGGACATTGGACAAATGTACTAAATGTCACAGCACATAAAATAGCAATATATGGACGAGAATTCAAACCACAAATTTGGGAATTTTTTGAATGGCAATGTTACTGTGCTACCAATCCCATTAAGCAAAATGTATTTGATTGAAAGTTAACTTTGATTGCTAAAACATGGTAACATGACGCCAAAAAGAAAAAATTTCATCTGTTATGTGGCATTTAAACTTAATGTGAGAGACCACTTCATAACTTAAAAAAATTAGGGCAATTTTTACACTAAGCCTCTGAAATGAAGTGTGTGCAATAAAAAGGACAGGTATAATACTTTTTGAGCCACCCTAATACACCTGATATCAACATTGGACCAGTTGTCAATAATAAAAAAGCCGGTCAGTGTTGAACAAAAGTACATACAAAAGCCATTTCAGAACTTACATGGTCTCATCTTCTCTATAATGAATGACAGCTCTGCTGCTGCTTTCCTCTCCTTTTTCTTGGATCTCAAAGTACTTCTGGAATACAGAAGCAAAACAATTTCTCTTGAGCAGACCTATTTTCTTGACCAGAGGTTGCCAGTCTTCAGGAAGCTTCTCCAGGTCCAAAAGTATGGAGATATTGTAGCCAGACTCGGGTGTCTCCATGAGAAATTCCCCATATTCTTCTTTAATAAGGGAGTCTGCACCGTGCTGCTGAAGCTCTTTGTAAAACTTCAGGCAGATAGAGATCTGCAATAAAACAATACCTGCATCATGAAAGCAAAATTCATTTTACTTGAGGAGAGCAGAGAATACATATAAATTCAAACATAAGTATTGTTCAATGAACTTTGGTAATGCTTGGACTGTTGCATGAGCATTCTCATGCAATCATTCTAAACGAGAAATTAATTACAAGTTTAAAGGTTATGCACAAAATTGGGTCATCTCAATGTAAATGAATTTGTGTAAGCATTTAAAAGATTGCGAGTACAGGTTGACACTAAAAAAGTAAAACAAAATAATAAAGACACAATAATTTGAGCAGTGCCTGCTCATGTCTCTATTGGACCGCAACTGCATCACAATGAATCATTAGTAAGACTCACCCTTATCTTGGTTTTATCTCCATCAGGGTTTGTGAGATGAAAAAGGACGCCATCAAAGTCAGCAATTGTGACATCAATGGACTCTGGTTTGCTCCTGGATAGAAATTGATTTGTTGAAAAGGCTGACAACTTATCATTTGAAACCATTTACCACCATGGCATTAAAAAAATCACAATCAAAGAAATTAAAATTACTGAATGAAATTTACATAATACCCATAAATAATAACAAAATTTGTATAGAAATCAAATTGTTGAAAACAAACCCGATTAAAGAAATTTTAATTGTATTCATTCCTGTATTTACAAAATAATATTAATATATAGGTATTAATATATGTTGCAATATTAGACTATAGCACTTACCCATTTAATGCATTTCTAATCTTGACTGAGACAGTGTCCTCCAAGATACGATTGTGAATTTCTAGGAGTATCATTTTTTATTCCTGCTGACTTAATAAGAAAAAGGTAAAATTAGGAATAAAATTCCCAAGTTATCAGGAAAGTTGAGATAAATACAATGTAGGCTATGACGGAAATTACTAACCAAAAATACCAGATAGCAAATTTCTTTTTGTAATGCTATAACCCATTCATCCTAGATATTCTATTTTAGCAAACAGTGATACGTATATAGTACCTGGGTATCTAGATATACAGGTTAACTGTAAATTCCAGTAGATTTCCAAAGTGTTCTAATATCAGTGTTAATAAAATGAAGCTGCATAATTTAGCCTAATCATTGGAGAGGCTCAAAGACTACCTATATTAGTTTACAATCCAATAACAGTCTGTTTACTGGGCTTACTGTTCAATTTACAGCCTGGCCAGAATATTGTGCAATCATTTAATCCACCAATTATAAAACAGATTCAAAGCTCAAAAATATAACTCATGGCTTGAAATTCCTATTATTGATGCATATAAATTATAGACCAGACTGTAAAGTATGGCAAAGTATAGGTCAAGGCTGGAAAATTGATTGACCCAAAAATGCAAGGTTTGATCCAGGCAGATGGCATTTGCCCTTTATGTGACAGAACAGGATGAAATTTCCAATTCAAATTGCCAATGCCTAATGATTATCACAGTTGCATTACAAACACTGCGGCCAACAAATACAAGCAATCAAAAAAAAGTAGGAGATACATGTGGACATGGGAACAAAGGTGTTGATTGATTTATCCACAGAAGCCGAGTTAGGTGAATCCTGATCAGTCATGGATGCCAATTTAAGGTCATGATAGCTTGACAGAGCTTTAAAAGCATTAATGTCTCAAGCTAAAAAGGCTACCGTCAAACGGGGTAAAAAGGGACGGTTTTGAGCATTTTTTGTTAATAACTTCTTACCATGAAACATTTCAGAAACAAGTTTAGGCTCATTTTATAGCTCTTTGCGAGGGCTATCCAATGGCATCTTCAAAAAAATTCCATATGCTATTCATAAGGTGTCAGATGCAAAATAAAACCGTCCCGATTTACCCCTCAAAGCAGGGTAATCTGGGACACTTGCAACAAAAGTTAATTTTAAAACGTTTGAAGCATGCGGAGGGTACTCATCCATTACTAACAGTACTTTGAAGTCCTCCTCTTTGATTGTAGGTGATGTAGATGTAAAATAAATGACATTTTCTGTGATTTTTACTTGTTTTTCTTTTATTGATATTATATTACCATATTCATTAATAACCGTATTATTAATGTGATATTACTGTATCCATGGACATGCCATTGAGCATTGACAACGATCTTGTCCACTGCAAGCTTCATATCAGCAGCCATGTAGCATTTCTTCTGTATCTGTAAGCTTACAGGATGGTTTGTAATTTCACACAATTTTAATTGAGTCAAGTGATTTCACTACCTATAACAAAAAAGATCGTGAAAAACATACCTGAAACAGAAAATAATGTTTTAGTAACAACCTCATATGTTTTGGAGAAATAAATCATAGTTTAGGTCAATTACTTTTCATTCTATGATGCCCGGTGCACAATTCTATATATAGCATTCTATGTACAATTTTGTGATGACCGTTGATGCACTACTTTTTCGATAAGTGAATTTTTTTTCGCTGAGCAAGGTAAATGTAATCAAAATTCTTTGTTGTTAATCAACTAACTTGCTAACTGAGGTTCTACTGTAAATGCATTTTTAAGGGTGTCCCTAATTACCCTGGAGGGGTGTCCCAAGTAGCCCCGCCATGCAGAAATGGCTGCCATTTTTTTTTTTTGATGAGATAGGCAAATTCTGTCAATTACGTTTTTAAGACGACACCTGGGTGCAACTTTTAAGTAAGTAAAATTTTTTAATATGGTGAATATTTTTCTTGCTCCATACCTTAGCAGAGGTACTTTTCCAAAATTGCACTTTTCACACTTTTTTTCAGCGATTTTTTAGAGATAGTAAATGTTTGATTTCTTGACTAGCTTTATATAGGTATAATAGATGGTTAAAATGTTGAAGTTTATGCCACTATTTTTAGATTTGCAATATTTTGATTAGTTTAGCTGCTACAACATTTCTACGAAATGTCAGAGGCGCGTCCCGACCTACCCCGCCCGTCCCTTTTTACCCCGTTTGACGGTATACTTTACAACTTGCATGCTAGAAAGCAGATATATTCAACAGCCACTCTCAGATGAGTTACCTTTTATCTAACCCAAACTGGAGAATCAGGAAGAAGCCACTGGTCAGTAAATGAGACAAAACCATACAGGCTCATGGACAGCTTCACCTGTTTCTAGGGCCTTCTCTTTGCTTATAATAAAGAAAAATGACCAAATTTTTAACATGTTTTTTAGAAATTGCCTGTAAAATTGTCAAAGTGAAAGATCAGGTGGAAGCTACCCAAGTATCAGACAGAAAAGCCCATGAATCAGACAGAAACACCTCTGAATTGGGCAGAAATGCAGATGAATCAGACAGAAACACTCCTAAATTGAACAAAAATGCCCATGAATCAGACAGAAAGACACACAAACCTGCTCAATTTTAGCCATTCCTATGGCCATTTCTCAATTTTTAAAAGTGAAAATGTGCTATTTTTACCACAATTTTTGAAAAATCACCTGAGGAACAATTTTTTTCATCCATAATTTTAAGAAATTTCTGCCTAATATTATAAATTGGTTAAATTATTGATTTTACTGGTAAATTATTTTTTAATTCAAGCAAGGACCTTGTCCAATATTCCTGACCTACATAGGAATTTTCTAACATAGGAATAAAATTTCACAGCTTCAAAGTCAAAGTGACAAATTTCTGATAAATTTTTACTTTTGTTGCCTGATGGCGCAGTTTCATTATCAATTGGCTGGGAGATAATTCATCTACCATCAACACCACTAGCGTTGCATAGAGTTGCCATGCTACAGTAAAAAAAATTAATGTTGTAGCCAAATATATTATAAATACAATACAAAAGTCACTTGTTTTAGTCTTATAAAGAATCTTCAGTGTACTTCAGGCCGGGTGGCCCAGTTGTTAAAGCTCAAACTACTTCCAAAATTGGAGCAGACATGTGCCTGTTTGATACAGCTCTGCATGTGCGCCAGTTTTTGGTCAGAATCAACGAGGAGCAGTCAAGCAAAATTGGATCAGTGAGTTGCGCATTCGAGACTGCAACAGGCTGTGAATATTCTGCGATGTTATGAATCGGTGACAGGCCTACAGACTACTAAACGCTGGCACTGCTATTATTATTATCTATTATATAATTGTAATTTCATAGGCATAGAAATTGCACAGCGGAGCTAGGTAATATTACTATGCTTTGAAGATGCTAGATAAATTAATTAGCCCCATGTCATGGTCTAATGCTCGTCTTTGTCCCTAGGCCTATGTTTTGTACATGGAGTTTTAATAAAACCATCTAATCCTTGAACTTGTACACCTCCCCATTATCCTGCAATTATGGAAGCTATCTACCAACCAATTCAATAGACTCAGTTAATTCTATTGTCAGAATCCCTCATAATAACGCCATAAAACCACTAGTCACAACATACATCGTGGGTAATTCTGACACTTCTCAACTTTTTTTCTTTTATATTAAGCTTTTTCTTAGTTCCACCAACTTCCACGCATTTGTTAATGGTTGCAATAGTGACGTCGTACTCTTGCGTGCTATACTATTGCCAAAACACTAGGTCTGGGCCGTCTGGCGGGAAAATGCTGAGATCCAAAGAGAGACAGTGTGCGTTGCCCAGCGATAACATTGAAAAATGTGTCAAAGTTGATAGCTGACCTTGCTTTACCAAATAGTGATAAACTGTTTGTGTAGAAAGAATATCATGGTTTGAGACTTTTAAATAAGTCTGTGAATATATTAGGAATCCTTTACCTTTAAGTATACTTGTATTTGCTGATTTCAAAGTCGTAAATAAATTAATAGATGATTAAGTTAAGAGAAGGTTATAGACTAATTTGGTTAGGTTAAGGTTATAGACTAAACTAAAACTAATTCTGACACAGCTTGGAATTAGACACACACAGCTCATTCCAAGCTGCGTGCAAAAATTAAAATTTTCTTAATTAAAAGCTTAATAACTCTTAATTAAAAGCCTAAATAAGTAGTGTTCAATATTCAATAGTGTTCTAATTCCAAGCTGTGTTGTAGGCTATTCCAATACAGCTCACACAGCAATCGGAATTTGAACACAAGAGTGTCGGAATTGCAAATTAGTAGAGTTTGGAGCGCAGCCAGAATTAGTCTCACAAAATGCCAAATTTTGTCACACATGGTGTCGCACTGTGTCGAAATATATGGATCTGGTAGGTTTGCATTCTAAAGGTTTTTAAATAAATATGGCAACATTTTATGACGTTTCATTGTTGCTGGCGCATAGTGCGGTGTTTGGAGAGTGACGTAAAGCTAACAGAACTCGAGTTGCGCATGTCGTGATTTTTTAATAGGCATTCATTTTTTGCTATGTCCCTAAAGTGTCGGAATATACCGCATTTACCCTATCACTAGTTTCACAGTTCACTACACACTTGTCACTGTTAGTCAGTGCCTACTGTGCAGAGAGTGGATGAATATAGCAAGATCTTTGGCGACGCTTCAGTAGCAAAATTTACGCCTAGGGTAAAATTAGAGATTTGGGGTAACACGTTGATGGACTTCGTAAATTAATGTGCGCCTCATAAATGGCTTTTCATGGCTTACTGAGCCGTGAATTCCATATCTTGGCCACAATGTCCTAGATATGGAATTCACGGCTTTGTGAAATGGAATCATGGCTGGCAAATCCATAAAAAACCACGGCTCGAAAAATTCAGTCGCGGCTCGCCATAGTGGCAAAGCAGAGAATTTTTTAGACTCTCCCTCAAGTTCATTTTTGAGTCCTATAAGTAGACAAGCAAAGTATCATGGATACCAACAATATCATACATAAGAAATTGGTTCAAATCTTGAGTAAATGAGCTTAATGAGGAAATTAAAAATGAACTGATTCTAAAAAATCTCTGGTTTGTCACTATGTGGCTCGCCAAGTAGATATATTCCATGCCTCATAGTGACAAAGCAGAGAGTTTTTTTAGACTCTCCCTCAACGGCTCAATGCCTCAAGTTCATTTTTGAGTCCCATTAGTAGGCCAGTAAAGTATCATGGATACCAGCATTAGGTATCAATCATACTTAAGAAATTGGTTAAAATCTTGAGCAAATGAGGAAATTAAAAATGAACTGATTCCAAAACAGCTCTGGTTTGCCACTATGCGTGACCTATGACATAGGCTACTCAATCTTCTTTTAATTTTAATGAATAATTTTAAAGTAGGAATCAACATTAATCTATCGCTGCCAAGTGCCAATACTGCCATGATAGGAATAGGATAATGTCATTTTTTTGTCATATGATGATATTAATTGTCAAATGTCATGTACCTAATTAGTGATAAAAACCGTGCACGGCGTGCAGAGCACTATTTCAGTAATTGAATAAAATATTCTAATCAAGCCCAGTTTTAAAAATAATTCTTCGTTATAATTCTTAATTCAAATAATTCTTCGTTTAAATTAAACTTGCTACTTTTGGTCCTAGCAGTAAAATTGTATTAGAAAAATTCGTTTCTACACCCTTATTCTCCGCCATCAGTAATGATTATGATAATGACACCTATGACCTATCTTTCGTGTCTTCCGGTACGGAACGATGGCACGCCCTTACTTTTCATCCGTAGAACCCTGTGTAGAATAATTCCACAAATGACTAAATCCACTTCAAATTGAATACAAATATGGATAAATGAAAGAAACAGTCTCTGGAAAATACTGTTTGGAACGATAATTACATAGCGGGAGGCTTATATGATAATCGTTTTTGTTTCAAGCCAGAAAGAGGCAAGTCATAACAAAAAGAAAATCGGGTTGTAGGTTGAACTATTCGTTGTAATATTATTATATTAATTGTATTAATTGTGGTTTCAGCACTGAATAAACCTAATTTGGGCAACTGCGAACTCCACAAATAGCAAGATTCGCACAGCTTTCTTGGATTTCGAGCCCGTAGTTAATTTATCCAATCTTGGTGTTGATAAATTAATGGCGGGACTGAAGCACCTCACCGATTTTAGCCAGAACTCTCAGAAAACTGAGATCGAACCCGCAACTCACTGCTACAATCTGAGTAGTCTGTAAAAGAATGGTCACGCTGCTCTATGGCTAAGTAATACTAATTATACCTTTACGATATTGATAATCACCTCGCCAATTTTGACCAGAACTGTCTCATAAAGCTGGGCTCGAACCCGCAACTCATTGCTACAATCTGAGTAGTCTGTAAACTTCCGGGCACGGGAGCGCAGCCGTGGGTAACAAAATTGACTCGTAAACAGGCCCTGGGCCCAACGCCAAACATCAGCATGCAATATCTACACATAGCCTCAGATCAATGAGCTGTGGGTAACTCCGGCTAACAGTAAATCCGCTTTACACAACACAGCCACTGCTTCACAGAGCCGGAGCCCAACTGGCTGGAGCGCAACAGGCCCTACCGCAACAGGCGGCGCAGGTTAAGTTAGGTTAGGTTACGTTACGTTAGGAGTAGCTGTTGCGGTAGGGCCTGCTGCGCTTCTGTTCTATGGCTAAGTGTTTATAATTATACCTTTATGAAATTCATCACATTTATTGGGATATTCAGTGAAACGAACTATAAAATAAATATCTTTCACTGTCGATTTACAGCAACTGATCGTTTTCAAGTATAACTTTGTAGAATTGTTTAAATCTTTCAACCAAAAATACCCAAAAGGCTGGTAGTATATCAACTAACTGATCACACTCTTATCACACAACAAAGTTACAATTAGAGAATGACGATAGTATATTATGAACGGTTCAGTCTGTTCTCGGCAGGGCCCGTTGTTCGCTATTACTCCACTCGTAAATATATCAGTCTGAAATTTTGTTTGATGTTCCAGCTATTTAATTTCAAATATTGTACATTAAAATAAATTTTGCAGACTTTGTCTTACAACGGTTATCAGGAAGGAAAATTTTTCGCCCGGGGCTCGTGAAGTGAGCGCTTCCTATCATATTTTTGCGATGTGTGTTAGTTTCACAATTTATCCTTTACTGACCATGCATTTCTGCATCAGACTCCAATTGGTAGATCGACGATCTATAACCGATCAGACAGTGAAACTTCCGTAGACTAGCGCAGGAGTTGTCCCTGCATTGTCGAAATTCGGATCATGAACGTGAAGAATCATGCCCCAGTTCCTTGAATCGTAGAGGTTCAAGAGAGGACGCCCTATACTTCCCCTGACTTCTTTCTCACCCTTCCTCCACTTTTCGAATGCTTTGTAGCGCCAACAGCATGTGAATATTGCAAAGCAGGTAAACGCGTCATTCACTGCAAACTAGATGTAATTATTTATGCACTAGATTTGAGGTAAGTGGACTAGAGTCATGATACAGAAAATTGTATTCGATTACTAATCCAAGCGTTCAGAAAAGCACTTCCAACCTCCGACTCATCTGATTAGAACAAAAACAATTTCGATTAACTAATACTTTGCAATTAAATTAAATAAGAAATGCCTCCGAAAAAGTGACTACATAGTTTGTTCATTGTATTTTGAACTTATATTGAGCCGTGTGATCATATAGCTGATACTTGACCACAAAGCCGTTTCCGACCTGAATTTTCGCAATCAGTTGCGGGTTCACACTCCAACTGGCTGTTCCAAACTTGATGCTCTTAACGTGTGCTCTTAACACTCGGCTACCTCGAGATTAAACATTGCTCTTCAGTTAATTGAAGCCCATAAGAATATTCTATGTTTACATACCGATTTTGTTCGATTCTAGCCTCGGAAAATCACATTTACAGTTTCTAAAAAAAATCGTCTAGGGTGTATTTTGTTTGTTAATTTCGCATATCTTTCATCAAATATAGGAGCTCTAATTCTTCAAAAATGAGACAAGCAAATTGGTTAAATAATTTTTTAATTATATTCCTAATTTCCTATATTTTTGGGTCCTAAACACATTAAAACACTATTAACTTCTTAGCACCTCGCTTAGGATGAATGAAGTTCCTTCGCATTCATCATTGAAAGTGAAAGGTAACTTTAAAGCCTCATTGCATCAAATTATAAGTGTTAATGTGTGTTACGTGAAAAATTATAAGTGTTACGTGAAATGAAGAAAAATATCCTTGAAATAAAACTGAAACACGCATAAATAAAATTGTACCAAATATTGAATGTGCTACAAGCGATGCTAGTGCAATGCTATTAGCTATACGAGATAATGAAAGATATCCTCTTCAATTTTTTATAAAAAAAATTACAAAAATGCGAGAATGACTAAACTACGAGACTCTCAAATATTTGTGGAAGGAAAACGCATTAGTTTTGTCCAGCATCGACCTTAAAAAACTTGGACGGCGAAGAATGCGACAGGGATTCCTGTTGACTAAGCCGTTTCCGGAGAGTGGGAACGTTTCCTAAAGCCACGGCGTCCGTTGTTCCCAAATTTGTTGTTTGAGTGATGCCTCTCCATTGGTCTACGCATGTTGACAATGAATCATCACATTTACCGGTTTCGTTAGACGTCGACAGGACATCAATTTCAGACCGGCTCAGTATTCTTTCTTGATGTACACCAACATGCCTGGGCAACGGCAACGCTGGAGTTATTCTAGCCATTCTTGCAAGATCGCAGCTAACGGGAGACACGTTTCTGTCTTGACCAGTAAACGTGAGGTGTGTGAAGGCCCTTGATGGTCGCCTATTTTGCCATGGAAATACCATCCTAAATTACAGTGATGTGATGGTACGAAATACCGTGCGATACTTGTTCCGTTAATAACCAATTATCTTGTTCGGTTGATAAAAGTTCAGTTTCAAGAGCTAACAGCCAAACGCCACAATTCAGCTCCTTCAAATTACGTGTAAATTTTTCAAAATATTAACAGAATACCTATATTGAGGCTAAATTAATTAACATTAACCACTAATCCTGCAACCCGACGAAAATCTTTCGTACAGGAATTGAATGAGAAGTTTAAGTCTACAGGTTTATCAAACAGATAAAAAGTTCTAACAATTACAAATGATTTGCATTATAATAGTTCACAAAATACCAACAATATATTTTTTATTAACTATAATTCAAATGTCAGTAATTCTTCTTTGAGGCAGATAGTTGTATCAGGTTTTGTGTCCGGGAGGGAAATTGCCGTGGTTGGAATGATGAAATCGTCGAGTTACCAGAAGTTAGGCTCGGTTGGTGTGCAGCGAACGTTCTACGCACGACGACGAAAAACTTCCTCCATCACTCCACAAAACGGAATGGCGGTACACCTAATTTGAAGAATGACATTAATATTTAATTGTGTTCGATAGAGGCACGAAAAGCATGCATATATCGAACAATGCAAACAAAGTATTGAATTTTATCGATCATTGACTTCATATTATAATATATCTATTAAATAAAATATTAACAATGAAAATTTTTCTTACAATCGTTATTACTAGATAATTTTCAATAACTGTTGGAATTTATTAATTAAAATGGCCCTAGAATTTAAATCTGGAATTTATTCATAATGTCCATTGGGAGAAAACATTTAAAATCTTAATATATCGTACAGTTTAGTGGAAGAATAGGCTAGTTGGACGTTTTCAAACTTATTACATTACGTAGTTGCTGGTACCTACAATCACTTTTGCAAAAACAGAAAAAAAAGGATTCATGAGAAACATAGCCATTATAACGTTAGAAGTTAAGGGTGCATTTTATCGGAAAAATGCCGAGGCATTTCAGAGGAGAGAATTTTGCAATCAAACATGAAGGTTGAGATAAAATAAATTTGCAGTGCCCTATCAGATCCACCTTTAGCTACCTAAAGGCACTCTACTGATCAAAGAAGACGGAAAACACTAGTCTATTACTAAATTTTACCGCCTCGGACGGCACAATTGATAACAGTACGTCCCATATATACATCTAGCAAGTCCATCAAACTTTTACTGCACATAAAATCAGAAATAAATTGACTAGTAAAAAAAATTTACACTCACAAACACATATTGAAGAAAGTGAAACGCTGTGTCAGGAACAAAAGTTGGTATTTTCTAGGCTAGATTACAGCAGCAATATTTTCCTTCCTCGGCGTGATGCGTGTAGCGGCCGTGTAGTAAGGCTACGGCATGCGTCCTCTCACAGCACAATCCACTGGTCAAATGTGCTTCTGCTGCCACGAGGCGAGCATCATATATAGTGACGGAAGAACACAGACTTTTCCAACGTAGGCTAGCACGATCGGTGAACCGTAATTGTGACAGAAATTCGTTTTCCTTTATTAATTTCACAGTATTTTCCTCAATGAATAAATTCTATTGGAGAACGTTTGTAATGTATGAACGTTCAGTCATATATTGACTCCACGCCAGTAACCTAACAGAGAAATTGGAAGTTTCGATTGATCTGTCAACTAATAGTTAATCGTGTTTCGAAAATAAAGTTGTTTATATTGAAGGATATAAACAAGGATTAAGTCAATCTGCGAAATTGATTGATCTAATTCAATACTATTCAGGACAATTTTGAATTTTATTGATGGTTGTTTTGAACAACAAAGTTGCACCGATATCTATGAATGAATGAACCATGGTTGAATTAATACTGGTATTATTTCAACCATGTAATGAACTCACTGAGTTGTGAAGGATGACGAAAAAATCCAAGAAATCCATCCATAGCTACATTTGTAAAAATGATACTTATAGTTATGTAGTTACTTATGAAACAGTTCATTATGAAAAAAAATTGTTTGGTTGCTGCATTTCTTGCAAGATTGAGGTTGAGCCTGCTAATTACCATTATTATTTTGGTGCCATAAAACAATTCTGTGATTTCAATTAGTTTTTAAAGGCAATAGGACAGCGACAAACAAATTTCAATTTTAATTATTTTACTCTAAGTTTAACTTAGCTATCCTTAAATACTAAAATTATTGCGTTTTAAGAAGACTTAGAGTAGGTAGTTCCATTGCCTTATCGAGCAACCTTGACATATGCCCACAAGATGGGCAAAAATTTTTTGCTCAAATAATATCTAAGAATGAATTATTCTTGTATCTGAGCTAGCCGGAATGTTCTGACGGATATTAATCCTCAGTAAATAGCTTCTGTTCGATTACCAACTAAACTCAAGTTCAGCGTTTCTATTCAACCAACTAATCACAACGTTAACAATATTGAAAAAACATATAGGAATTTTGAAGCGGCCTAAAATTTGGTAGTTATGCTTTATGCATCTAAAGTCAGCGAAACGTCACGAAAAGAAAAAATGTTGATGAAAAATTCGGAACGTTCATTTCAAGCTCCTCCCATCCGTTCGTTTTCTGCCACGTTCGCACCTTGGTCTTTCCCAGGGCGAAATCATGATTTCACCCTCATCTCGATTATCATCGCGTGGTGCTAAACCCAATAAAAATTTTGTTGAGTTTATCAAAAGATTCCAATTATTTCAATAATGCAGTTTTACCTTTTATTTCGGCAACTTTAATCACTCAATTGTATTTCTATTCTCTCGGAATCGCATTATATTTTGTGTGAATTACAACTAATGTTTCAAACTTCATAAAGCAAATAATTGAAGCATGCAGTGATAAAGGATTTTAAAATAGTACGCAATTTTATTGGATTTGAACTGATAGGATTTTTTTACTGGCGAAAAAATATTTTGATAGCACCCAATATACGAGTATATGAATGAAATTTAATTTTACGACTACTGATAAGTAAGAGAGTGCCGATTACTTCAGCACACAAACGCATTTACATCGCCATTATGACGAGACTCCTGCATCTCGAAATAGCTATTTTGAAATGATCGACTTCAGACGAGAAACAATATCGAGATAAAGTCATAGAAGGGGAAAATATCCCCGATTGAATGTATGAATCGGACCAATAATTCCACCCCACATTCTTTAACACTAATAATATGAACGGTTCCTTCTACATAACAAAGTCCAAAATAAACCGAATCCTTGAGCTTCTATCTAATAACTTCTATAATTATATTTTTCTTGATACCAGCGTACGTAATATACTATCTTTAGTAATGTTTGGAAATTACCACATTTGCAGGTAAATTTACAATTAAACGTTACTCAGTTCTCGTATAAAGATATTCTTGATTTAGCTGTCGGTGTTCAACGGAAACATAGTTATACCCATTAATTTTAATTATAATATCTTCGAGATCTTAAATCGAAAAATACTCGTTAATATTTATACAACATAAAGAATAGTTCTTTTAAATAGGTAATATCATACTCATGTGTCATACTATATTACAATAGTTTTTGAACGGGAAAATGCGGATTCTTTAGGTTTAGGTGATGATAAAATGTCAAAAATCGAAACCGTAACTTCTATCGCCAGGGAATAACCTTGACCGTCTGCAGTTGTTCCCTCCTGTACGAGTGTTCATGGACCACAGTGTAGCCTGCGACCGGCGTGAGCGAAGAAGTGGACGTTCGCCTCTCGTTCCCTGAGTGCATTCGCGAGTTGCTCATGGTCGTGCACGAGGTTGTGGTGCAATTGCTCTCGTTATAACAGAAGTTAGCATTACAGTCGCTTCATGTCAGCCAGTCGTTCCTCGCTCTCACAGGCGAACATAATATCGTGGTTGAGCGAGTCTATCTATCGCTACCTATCGCGCACCTCTGCGTGCAGCACATCTTTTCCCTGAGCCGTCTCGACAACTTACAATTTAAGCTCGTATCTTCGGGTATCCACAGCTTCTAGACGTTATTTCTGACTGGCCACGATGCTGGCTTTTTCGGTCTGGAGACACTTTATCTCTTCCAGGTGCTGCTGAAGGCCACACACCTTGACTTATCTTCGTTTATTGTCTTAGCTTAACTCGATGTTCCTTTCAGTAAACAGGACACACCGCTCGTGTTCCGTGCAAAGCTCCTCCTTCATAGCCTCGATGTTGCGAGCCATCGTTGCTCGCTCCAGCTCCCCGTGACATCTTCTCTGATCATTCATTGTTGCACGTCTCTATGTACAATATCCTCTAAATTTCTATGTAAGTAAGGGTTAGTACAAGTATGCTAACCGCGGAATTACGTTGCCTCAGGTAGTTCTAAATCTTTAAACGCTCTCGGTGAAAGCTGGATGCGCTCAGCTTTTAAGCGGGAACTAATTTAGAAGAGATGTGCGATATTGCGTCCGGCACACAGAACTTGTCAAAACTTACTGTTAAATCTAGATATTTAAGAAATATTCACAAAGGACGCAGCTCTTGTTTGCTGACTGCGAAGAGTTTGCGAGTCGGTTTAGGCAGCCACTCCCTGCATCAGTGGGTGACGGACGTAGCATGGATACCCTCACCCGTGATCCTTGGGATTCTGCAGTTCTGGTCTGCCATGTGTTGTTTTATCGATAATCGGTATCATGAAATTCGTTTACTTTATTAGCGGTGGCTACTCACATGTATGTGAAATTTATTATGAATTGTACTTATGGTAATGGGTAAGCTATTATTTTGACCGTGACGCCTCTAATTAGTATCGTCCTGGATTTCAAAATAATATGCAAGATTATCTCGATTTGTTTCGCAAATCCGGACAAAGCTTCTTGTGTCTCGAATAAAATAATATGCGTTTAAAATTACTTTTTAAAGACAACGCTTCTGAAGAATACGGTGTCTCCGATGTTACACATCTACAATGAATTTCTATTTTTTAATATATGAAAACAATTTAAATCTTCAAAATTATTTATTAGTATGTCAATTGATTCAAGCATTGTTTCCGACTTAATGCAAGCTGCAAAATTTCAGATCGATTGGACAGGTAGAAGCATGGTTGAATTAATACAACCATGTAATAATTAATTGTGTTCATTAATATTATTAATTAATAATTAAATTTGAATTACAATTGAATTAAATGGTTGAATTAAAATGTATTAATTCAACCATGGATAGAAGTGTGTCAAATACTGATATAAGATTTGTGGAAGATGAAATTATTTTTTCAATTTTTTAAATTAAACAAAAATTTACATTTTTAAAATTATATATTATTTCAATTGATTCGTACATTGTCTCCGACTTCACTCAAGTGGACAAAATTTCAGATCGATTGGAGAAGTAGAAGTGGGTTAAATATCGATTATAAGATTTTTAGCAGACAGACAAACAAACAAATAGGAAGTGAAGTTAAAGAGAAGTGTTGTAAAAAGTATCAAAATCTTTGTTTCTAATTATAACTTGTTAGCGAAGAAAATGCTTGGGCACCGAATGGTAACAACATTATTAAGTGGTAGTTGGCTTACACAAATATTTTTCGAGTCGCATGGACTCCGGTGAAACATGCATAAGGGAACACATATTCAAACTTAGAATGCGGCCTCGATGACCCCATGTGCTGAAAAAATTTTCTACGCAGATACCGTATCGATACTTCCAGGCAAGCAAGATGCATCGCCTCCGGACTGAGACGGGACGTGGTCCATGGTCCATGCAAAGTTACAAACCGCACTCCCAGTCTTCATTGAGCTGTTGCGGGTGGTGGACGTGTGTAAGAACGCAACGTGCGTTCTGAGTTGGCTGATCTAAGACTCTCGGGATTGTTATTGTAATTTGTGATTAATGAGTTTTGAAACTACGTGTACGATATAATTGAAAGTCTTTAATTACAATGTATTATAAGATGGGAATAATGGCAGGACAGTAAGACTACAAACAGAATCTGGCTTATTGTTATTTTCGTTTGATATCAAACGACAGTTAAAATCGGGCAATGCCGCAATGGTGGCCAAATTGTTGCTTGCACTCCCAAGCTATATTATATTTAATTTTAGGAACAAATTGAACGAATATTCTTTCTGAAATATTTCATTCAAAAATATAAGCATCTGTAGATATAAAACTGTCCTAATCCCAATTATTACAAATGATGCTTTCAACTTGTCCCTTTGTGCTTGCGCTTGTCGCTTCAGCCAACCTGCTGAGTGCTTAGCCGCCCAGTCGTGCTGCGGGGCATGCATGTAATTAGTCTAATTGCATCATGGTTGCTTATGAATATGACTCCTTCATATGATATGCGGTTCATTGAGTTCTTCCCTACTCCTAAGGATTATTGCTCTTGCAAATATAAAGAAAGGAGTGGATAATTCAATGATCATTCACATCGTCATCGTGTCATGTAAGGAATCAGAACAGAATCGAAGTCGTATACACACTTGAAGCGTGATAAACCATAAGTTAGGTGGCAACCGTGGCAGACAGCATAATATTAATAGCGTAACCAGTTTCACTCAGTGACTCAAATCGGAACGCCTGGCTTACCGGGAGATGACTAACGGGTGTACAGCGAGGACATTTTCCCGCTCTATATCTTTCGATCTTTTCCCAGCCCCAAACTGTCAAGCATCTGTCAGTCAGCCTTGTCGCTTGGCAATATAAACAGACTGGCTAGTACTCGTTCATGCAGCTTCGGGTGTGTGTCTGAGCCTTTGCGCTATGGGTTGAGGATTTGCGTTGCTTGTCGTGAACACCGCGGTTATTAGCTACTCTGCCTAACGACAATGTTATCAATCCCGTTCCGAATAACTTTGCGTTTAAGTGATTGTTTTATTGATGTGTTTTAGAAACCATGGTTATTCCAGCATTAAAGGATTAAAATTTGTGCTTCTTCATTATGTTAAACGTGGATTTAGTTATTCACTTATTGAATTACCAGAAATTAATTACTGATACATAGCAGGCTCTGGGCATGTGTTACATCTCACATTTCAACTGTCCATATACTTGACGGTTAGTTTAATATGTTCGTTATATCTGAGATTTTCTTTCTCTAACCTGAGTAAGAAACTAAGCGATTTGAAGAAAATTAGACTTTAAGTCAACCGCTGAAATTGAGCCACGGTCAATCAAGACTTGCATAACTTACTCTAAGCTGCGTCGCGCTATTTTGAAATACTCAGTTTCTAGCCCGTGCATTTACATGCTCATTGATCGCTTATTCCCAGCTACATCAACTTTTATTACCTCTAGGCCCTGCACACTCATGCACGCTGAAGCGTTCACACACGCCCACACTTGCAGCTTCCTGTACCGATAAGCGAGCATCGCAGTAATGCAGCGACACAGCCTGCACCCGTGTGGTGGTGACATTGCACTTGTCCTTATCAGCAGTCAGTTCCCTCGCAGTCATGATGTTATTGCTGGGCTGCAGTGCGCTTCTGCAGTTACTCATGCAATGGTGTCTCTCGAATACTTTTAACTTTTGTTAAGAGGCACTTTTTACTGTTACTTTTAAACTTTTGTTCAAAGTGAATCGGTGTTTATTTGGCTTTGACTAAACTTTTACGTGTACATGGAGCGCTATAAGTGTACATGAGTTCCCAACAAGTATTTACCGCGTCTTGAACGTAATATACATTTTGCTGTTATTCAATTTAATAGATGGTTGCCAGATACTGTCCCTCTAGGCTGGTCATAATATGAATTTAGTCGGTTGTTCATTAATTGTATTTTTTTTTCGTTGCTCATTGCTGTGTAATAACATTGCAATTACTATTACGCTTATTAACTTTATTATAATTGGATGGTGGACTACTGGACTTATAGTGCCAAAAGCATCTCTCAGCCTAATCTCTTGCAAGGGCTTCTCAATATGTATTATTTGTGCAATAAAATTTATGTGTAATAAGTTTTGTATTTGCCAGTGAATCATACCAAGATGCACCGTGGAATTATCCTTGGTCTCTATGGAGCCGATTATTATAATGCAGGTAATCTCAATTGACGCTTTATTGCAGCTTTTTAGTGGCTCAATTTCGACCGAATCCTCCACAGCTTCTATCATGAGATCGGATGGTTTATGCCGCTGTCGAGCTTGTTGATAGGCAGCAATATGCTTATACATGCTGAGGGTTGCTTGCATATGCGCAATGACCTCACGTGCCGCTTAGCTTCTTGTAGATGTAGAGGAAGAGAAGGCATCATTTAGTCCTATTCTATGTTACAAATTGATGATCAAATGTAACTCTCTTTTTATGGTTTGTACTCGCTCAGTTATACTCATAATTGATTTTATGGGGGGATAAAAAAACTTCTTCTTAACTATAACTGTAGCCATGTATGGCTGCATCGAGCACGAAAATATTCCATGATTTAGAAAATTCATTGTAGCAATGATTTTGTACGTGCTTTTGATATTTTATTTTGTGTCGAGTGATTGTTCGGTGCAGATGCGCCGAGAAGAATGCTTCAAGAATGGCACCAACAGTCGCAACTGTTCGCCCCGTGCAGCCTTTCGCGACACTCTGGCTTCTGTGGGTGCTAGCCATCGCCAAGTGAGCATCCTGGGGGTCGAGACATTGCCTGCGATTGAAAGAAGCGCTTTTACGCCTCTGCCATTTGCTGCATTTCTCCAGCCACGGCCATTGTATCAGGAGTCAGAAGAGAAGGTTTTCAATGTGCTGGAGGAGGAACGCACGGTTCCGAGGCAGCTCAAAGGTGGCAAACGACAAGTCGGACGTGAAAGCGAAGAGTCGACGCTAAGTGAAAGCGAGAAAACATCCAATAGTCATGTAAACTTTAGGCGGAGAAAAGGAGGCAGAAGGAGTGACAGACAGCGACAACTCAGGAAAGAGAGGATTGAAAGAAAACGAGCAAGGAGGAAGAACAGAAGAAAAAATAAGCGTGAGAAGAAGAACCTGAATAAACATCCAAAGTACAGGGAAGGGAATCAGAGAAAAAAATCTATGAGGGGAAAGATGAAGTCGTTGCGCACTAGAGGTCAGCGTCGTAAACACGTGGACCAAACCGGTGTGAACCCACCTAGCTTCATCGAGAATGTGCAGCTTACCTCAGCGCCACTCAAAACGAGCAATCGCGACGCCTCGCGACTTGAAGATAACACTCAAATTGACGAGGAGCTTGGAGCCTCTTTGCCGATTTCATCAAACTCTTTAACTGACGCTGCTAACTCTTATATTAATGTGCACAACTATCACGAAGCTAAAACGGATCTCGACGACGAATTTGAAAGTGAAGTCGGAGACCCTTTTGACTCTGAATTTGATTTGCACCAAACAGACGACGACGACTATGAGTTTGGTCCGGATTATTTCGACTGGAAGGATAATTCAAGCGCTGACTACTTCTTAGAGGGCGTGGAGACGACCATTTCGCCAGGTAAGCTTATTTGTCTCGGTCCACATAAAAGAAAATGTATTTTTCTAACTCTGCCTCAATAAAGTATGTAAATGTATTTTTTTGTTGTTGTTCACATTTCTATTGCAAAAGCTATAGAAAAGTAAACAATATGTAAATATTTTGCTTATGGTGAGATTTTCTTTTGAAATTTTTCATGAAAGGAGTGGAATGCTGAATAGGTACCTTATAAATTGTGATTAGGTACCATATAACCATCAGGAATCTACGGCTTTCGTCTGCGAAATATTTTCTTGTGAATGTGCTCTCTGTGGTACCGTGTACGTGTACATATCATAGTTGTAACCTTCACGGCCTGTAGTTTAAACCGTGTATGCTGCTCATCGAAAAATATAGCTTAATAAATCTCCTAACATATTATTAATTCAACGAACGTACCGTACATTATCTGTTGGCGGCTCGGTGCATTACTTAACAACAACCACTGCACAGGTGCATTGCAGCAGACATGTTGGCTGCCTGCTGTGATATATATATTCTGTCGCATCAATATTCACAACCATGCGTGGCTTACGTATCTTCTAATCGGAGCTCATGATGTCAGATTACCGAACTTTCTGGCTGATGACAGAGTGGCGCGATGATACGAATGCAATTACCTGTCGCGTCATGTCCGTGTATCTTGCTACTCAAAATAATTATCTTTCACTCTATCTCTTGAGTTGAGCTTTTATGTTTATTTACACTGTATATTGCTTGAGGGTACTTTTTAACATTTAAATGATGTTTTTTGGTAAGTACCTTGATACGTTCCGGAAATGTTCAAATCGTGAGTTTCATTATTTTCTTAATTATATGTCTACGTTGAAGCTCTCATTCTATCTTATATGCGCCATTGGATTTGCATGAAGCTTGTTTTATCTGGTATCATAACCTGGTTCCGGCCTATTTGAACATTTATTTCCAATCGAATGTGAATATTCAGTAAAAAATTTTAGATATGAATGTTCATACAGTCTCGAATACTTAACTTCTTATACCGATGTCTAGTTGGCAGAAATTCTAGCCTTCCCACCGTATTTTATGTAAGAGCTAACGTTTTGGGGCAAACTGAATTGAACTGAGAAGAGTTGCCTGTTGAATGATTTCCTAGTATTTTCTGGAAAAATTTTACAGAACAGAAAATACTAGGTATTCACCACTTAAAATACTATATATCCCTACGACTAGGTTTTCACCTAGGGATGTTGCTGCTTCCCACGTCAGTGATGTCAAGTGATAATGACGTAGGTATTTACAGTAATTAGAAGTCACGTGAGCGAGTAATGAGAAGGTGGTTTTTAAGTTTTATTACGTTTTAACATTGGTCACTAAGTTTTATAGCTTTTCAACTTCGGTTGGTAGGTTTTAAATATTTTTCAACATTGGTATGTATGTAGGTTTTATTACTTTTCATCATTGGTCACTAGTTCTTATTACTAAGTTGCATTGGTCTCTCAGTGTGATTACTTTTTACAACACTTCTCTTTAACTTCACTTCTTGTTTGTTTGTCTGTCTGTCTGCTGCAAATCTTATAATTGATATTTAACATACTTCTACCTGTCCAATCGATCTGAAATTTGGCACACTTGCGTAAAATTGGAGACAATGCATGAATCAATTGACAGAATGAATAATTTTATAAATTAATTTTTTTTCATTATTAAAAAAATTCAAAAAATAATTTCGTCTGCTACAAATCTTATAATCCATATATGACACAATTTGACCTGTCCAATTGATCTGAAATTTTGCACAATTGCATAAAGTCAGAGACAATGCATGAATCAATTGGCAGAATAAATAATTTAGGAAATTTACAAAATTTTATATCTTAAAAAAATTTTGAAAAATAATTTTTTTAGTATTTGAAAATAAAATCAGAAATTCGTTGTACATGTGTAACATCCAAGACATTGGATTGTTCAGAAGTGTTAGTAAAAAGTAATTTTTAAACGCATATTATTAACATTTGTCAGTAAATTCCATTGCTTGCTGACAGGACCGTGGGCACTACAGACTGACGAGGACACAACCGTCCGTCTGGACACTAGCCACGTGGACGTCCGGAGGAATATCGTCCGCCTCCACAACCTCCTCAGGAGCAAAGTCCTGCCTCCTGCCGCCAACATGCTAGTTGTAGTATGTGGGTGTTGTACTTACGTAGTACCGCCCCTCTGTGCTTCTATGCTAGTTGTAGCATGCGTACATTGAGCTTGTCCTAAAACCCCTACTTGTTATTTGCTGTATTTGTGCACTTTGCCCCGGCAGTCTCACCCCTTAATTAACCCACCTACATGCTGGTCGTACAGGGTGATTCACAGAAACTTCATTTTCCTTGTATTTTGCACCAAGCAGCAAGGTGTTGTAGGAAAAGAACGCGGAGTATTTCATATGGTAGGTCATGAGGTTTTGTGTCCCCCCTAGTCAGTTGCCGCTATGCATCGGACAATAGAACAGCGTGTCTTTGCTGTCGAGGCGTACTTTCCAAATGGCCGTTTCATCATCGCTAGCTACCGGTACTCAACGAGCATTCCGTACTCTGTTCCGTATTCGTCCTTCAGGTTGGGTTCGATCGGAAATCGATAATTACGTGGGTAAACACATTTAGGGCAAGTGGAAGTGTGAATGTAAGAGAGACGGGAGGATCTTAAATAAATTATTTACAATGACTGTCCAAGGTCAACGTACGTCAAGCCATCGCCAACATACTCGTCAATGTGATTCACCAAGTTGAAAGGAACTTCAAAAATCGACTAACTGAATGCATTGACAATATGGACCGTCATATGTCCGATGCCACTTTTAAAACTAAGTGATGCAAAAATTCAGGCAATATCTTTTTAAATAAAATACATATTGTAAAGATATCTTCACTAGTTATGTTTTTATTAAGCTTTAAATTCAGTAAGTTTCCGTGAATCACTCTGTAGTAAGTTAGTACAAGTTACTCGTAAAAGTCTTACCGTATACATGACTATACTCTGTATATTTATTCAGAAATCCGTTCCCCTTTCTCTAGTCATTGGCCCATGAATTTAAATTTTGCCTTGAAGGTGAAATAAACAATATTAGTGTTGTAATACTGGTATTTGTAATAGTATATCAATATAACGACGTGATTACCAGGTAAAAGAATGTTCAAACTGTGTTCTTCCAATGATTTCTGTATCGAAATACTTGTTAATAATCTGAAATACCTGGCTCGAAAACGTACAAATGTGTAAACGAATTCATTATGGACACAAATTCACTCATAAATGAAGTATAAAATTCACCACAAACGTCCTGCTTGAGGAGCGTTCGTCGTGCCTCAGGTTCGATTCACTCGCTGCCTGGCGTCAGAACGTTCTGTGAGAGCAGCGCTTGATTTACCTACACTCCTACAGCAATGGCTGCAACCCACCGTGTTGCCCTGTATATAGGCACGCAAAACTTCACCATTATCAGCAGAATACAACTGTTGAGGCTTCTCGTGCACATCTGATTCCATCCCTTAATGCTGTAATAGGAGGTGTCGTCAGGAGCCAATGTCATTCAATAGACAGAACGTATTTAGGCCCACGACAGTACGCAACCTTTGAATTCGCTATACGTTTCGTTAAGATTATTACCTATTCGAAATTTACCCCAGTTCCTCCGATGATTCGAAACTAAGTCTATAAAGGTTTCCCCAAAGTTTCGTAAAGGTAATAAGATCAGGTTTATTGATATATTGATAATAAGACACTTTGATCAGGTTTATTGATGGTGAGTTTCTGCACATAAAGACACGACAATTTTGGAATACGAGATAAACAGATAATTCAACACTATGGTTCAAGAATATAACATACGAAAAAAAGACACCAAACATAATTATCTCACCGAATCATCGGAGGAACTGGGGTAAATTCCGAAGAGGTAATAATCCGAAACGAAAGCGTATTCAAAGGTTGCGTAGTGTCATGGGTCTATTTACGTTCTGTCTACTGAACGACATTGGCTCCTGACGACACCTCCTAATACAGCATTAATTAAGGGATGGAATCAGATGTGCACGAGAAGCCTCAACAACTGAAACAGGACAATCCGCGTAATCATATCAGAAGAATATATATAATTGCAGGCAACTTGCAAAATACCACCATAATCACCAGAGGAAAATTGTCGCACAATACGTATTGCACACGATTAAAATACAATGGGCTCACAACTTTGCGCCTGATCCTCATTATCAGCAAAATACAACTGGAACACCCTATTCCGTGTGATCATCTAAACAGAAGAATACAAATGACTAGCAACTTACGAGATGTAATCATAATAAGCAGAATACAATCAACACAACATTGCGCCTGATAACCGTTATCACCAAATTAAAATTTACACCTTATATTGCACACGATCACCAGAGTAAAATTGACACGCAACGCTGCTCACGATCACCATGAACACCGCAATACAATTGGCACTTAATATTGTGCCTGATCCTATAATCACCAGAATAAAATCGACGCCAACATTGCGCCCGATCACCATAATCGCCACATGCAATTAACACCTAACACTGTCCTCCATCATCCTTCTGATCCTTAATCATCTGTTGCCAGAGCTGGCATGGGGCCGCAGCCAGCCAGGCGCGGCACTGGGCCGAGGCCTGCGTCGCCCATCGGGGCCGCCACGCCGCCCCTGAGCGCTGGACTCCTCGTTACGGCACGTGCGGACAGAACGTGCTGGTGTCGCGCCGTAGGAAGCGCTGGTGGGGGCCGCATTGTGGTATGCAATGTGGTGCTGGTAGCAGGCGTGGTGTGATGCAGTGTGCTACTGATGGATGCCGGAGCGTTGTGTTATGTGGAGCTGTTGCGTAATGTGTTTGGTAGCGGAGTGCGACACAATACACTGGCGTATTGTGTGGTGCTGCTGAATTTTGCATTACGAGTGTATTGTGTGCGAAATGTGGTGTAGGGCTGGTGGATGGAATGTAGTGTTGGTGAGTGTGGTTTGGTAGGGGTGTGGTGTAGTGTTGACGGGTAAAGTGGTGCTGGTGTGCTGTGTTGTGTTGGTAGATAGTATGGCGCTAGCATCCTTGAAGAATCCTGGTGCGTGAAGCAGAAAATGAATAAAAGTTGTGAAAGAGCTCCGACTTCTCGAGTCATATTAGAGATTAAATTGGAGCATAACTACTGAACAGGAGTAACATGACATTTTTTAAGGGGTGAGGTTATCAACACGTGGTGGAGGGAGCGACGTTACTTCCAGTTCGGCAGCACCATGACCAACCTGACGTATAGAGCTCGGTCCTACACGCAGCTCGTGTGGTACAGCTCACATCGTCTGGGGTGTGCTCACTCACAGTGCTCATCTGCCAACGATACAACCTTCCACAGATACGTCTGCAACTACTGTCCTGCGTTAGTACATTGTATAGTCTGCAACTACTGCCCTGCGTTAGTACATTTTATAGTCTGCAACTACTGCCCTGTGTTCGTACTCGCGGAAGTTAGCGCTTCATGTTGTGGCTGATTTTTTTCTGTAAGTGCCTCCCATTTTTACGTCTGCACCTTTCAATCATCCTAGTTTTCAATAATTTTATTGATTTTATGCTTTGTTACTACGAAGTTTTTTTTTCGTACACTGCCTCCCGTAGACAAACGACAGCTTATTTTTCGACTGCGGACTGAACCTACTGCATTAATGTGCAAACTTCCTTTCACTGCCAATTATTCAATCTCGTACATCGCAATGCCTATCTGAGATGTTGCTTCCCTTTCTGATCAAGCACGGTGGGATTTTTGAGACTTCCCGCCACCCGTGATACGTTAATTGTAACAAATTTTGCTTTCAAAACCAAAGTGCGAATCTTTTCGTGCATTTTTCTACAGCGCTGTTGTTGTGTTGCAGCATATTGTGATTTTGTTGCCGTCCCTTTTTGTACAGACCCACTTTCGTTCGCGGTTTTCCCGACACAAACGGGCGAGCCTGACTCAGTGCAACAATTTTTACTATAGTCAAATCTTAACATAGTGCATTTCTACCTTGTATACATATATTGTGTTATATATGTTTTAATAATACCTTGTATGTGATATTGTTGCAGCGGCAACGACCCAAGCCGCTTGTCGGAGCCGTACACGAGGGGGCGACCGTGCGAGATGTGTCCCAGAGCTTGTAGGTAAGGTGCCCTTATCCCATAACTGAAGACCTTTTTGTCCTCTAATTAATAAGAGCACCGGAAACATAAGTCCTTTTAAGACATGACAGATCGCCCAACTTTATGTGCTAAGGATCTAACTATTGGAGTATGTGGGCTTCAGCTAGATCGAATGGTTAGTATAATAATTTTCTGTGTAAAGAAGCACGTAAAGCCGTACTCGTATTTATTTTAAAAACATATTTTCAAGGGTTTATTCTTTATAGTCTGGCACATTATAAATATAACTGCAATAAAATAATTTCCTACAGATCGGTTTGCGCTGAGGGTCAATGCTTGATGTGCACGAACAGATGCCCGTTCTCGGACCTGTGGGCGAACTGCGGCACGCTAGCCAACAGGTGGAGCGAGTGGCTGTGCAACACCAAAACCGCGCACGGCGTCGAGCGCTTCAAGAACTGCCGCGCTACCTGTCAGTGTGCGCTGGCTGGTGATAAGATCATATAAAAGTCGCGTCGCATTAGTCAGCATTATTATAAATTTTAATTAATTGTACAAATTTAACGCAGTATAAGCAATCTATGTATTCAGTGAGCCACTTTATAGGAAATATGATTAACAATGTATTTATACGACGTCATCTTGGCGTCTCACGAGTCAGGGAATCGCACAAATATATCAGCTTGCGGAAGATTCTCAGTTGTTAAATTTATATAATTTTCTTCCAGTAAGGCAGTTCCAGTTACGCGAGTCTCCGTCAGTCGGCAGGCGAAAAATATACAATCTACTCGCTTATATTAATGATAGTATTAAAAAAATTGTCAAGTTTTGTATTATTTCCTATTGTTCTAATTTATTCAGCGTTCTGACTTGCATGAAATCCGAAATGAGATGCGAGACGAGGACCAGGCTGCGGCAGTCTAGTAGTAGATCATCGTTTATGGAAGCGAAGTAATGGGATGTTATATGCAAGAAACAATCATGGGGATAATGTTTATTTAATGAAATCTATTTAGTGTCTGATCCACGGCGTTTTTGTCCGCCGTTAATTCAATTAAAAATTAATCTTGACAATCCTGTACAAAGTATTAGTGAGAATAAAATTGATTGAGGAGTAGATAGAGTAGCGTAAGATACGGCCAAACCTTTCCTCTCATCTTTCACCAAGGAATGGCAATTCCAATATCTTCAATTCTAAACACGAAAAATTGAATGTGTAAATTAATCATAAATTTTTTAAACCTTGGAAGTGAATTATATTACGAGTGAAGGAAATGCTTAATTACCATGTTCAGCTGGTGAGCACCGCGCCCAACAACACGTCAAGATACTTCATCACTCACAAAATTCTAGTTCGCTTGGAAATAATTGTTCACAACTTAGCTTTATGAAAGAAGTAGGCTAAGACAATAATGCACACCTAGAGAAACGAATGGGTGATATTGCCTAAATAGTGACATACTATCTGCACGTAGCACTGATCGCATGAAATAAGGTGAAAATTACCCCTACAAGGACAAAATTGCATCATTATCTACGCGAAGTAAGATTCATTTCTACGTACCGGTATGTATTACATTAATACGAATCGTAACTTGAGTACCGCAGAATTTTGTTTCGACGGACTTCAGAGTTTACCTCTTCAATTAAAGTAGGTCATGTTCATCCAAATCTGGTAACACAGAAGCCCCGTACATAATACAGTGAAATGTAAGCCCCCAGGAATACATATTCGCTCACACTCGCACCGAAAAATATACTCCTAAATGACAAAATACCACTTATTTAACGTATAAAAATCTTAATAAATATATAAAAAGAAAAGCTAGAAATAATTGTAGGAATAAATACTGCGTACAGAATTTGTTTGTACAGTCAATTATACACCTGGACAGAAGAAGATCGAGAAAAAAAAATTCAAACTTCTAGCGATGAGATCTCTTTCACAATTATGTATAATTGAAGTAGAAAATTAAACATTGGAACTTGAAACCACAAAAGGGATACTAAAGAACAATTTCAGTAAAAGCTTCGAAATCTAGGTTATGGTCGTAACCAACACTAGCCGACGAAAAACAATGTTTGTTACCGACAGTAGCCGACGGAAAAATCATGTTTGTTACCGACAGTAGCCGCTGGAAAAATGTTTATTACCGACAGTAGACGACGGAAAAATNGCTAGCTGACGGAAAACAATGTTTGTTACCGACAGTAGCCGACGGAAAAATCACGTTTGTTACCGACAGTAGCCGACGGAAAAATCATGTTTGTTACCGACAGTAGCCGAAGGAAAAATCATGTTTGTGACCCACAGTAGCCGACGAAATAACCATGTTTGTGGAAATTGTGACCAACAGTAGCTGACGGAAAAAATGCAGAGAATAGCGGCGTTATCCGGCATATAGTAAGTAAATGATTTGACTGCAAGTGAGTATCCCGATAAAATTAATATGACACGGAGGGATTCTCGCGGTCCTGCCCTAGTAAAATAATGGAAGGAAAGTTAAAAAAGTTAGACATAGAATTATCTAAACAATAACTTAATTTACATAAAAACATAAATAATACATTTAAAGCATATTACAACTTGATGCTTGAAAGACATCGTTAACATTTAGTCCATTCATTGGTCCGGTTTTGCAATTACACGTCATACAAACCTGGCGCTATTAGCTGATCGTGCAAGTCAATCGCAATTAAAGGTTCAAACATGTCATGTTAGTGTGCCTGAGGTTCAAATAAAGAGGAAATTAGAATGATATATCACAGAAAACAGTACTAAATCAATGATTTGAACACTTTCCTACGCTCTAATTTCCTCTCCTGGAAAATGCTCGACTCCTCCATCCCTGTCCTTGTGAGGAACATTCTTGTAATAATTGTACGAAGGAGTGGGTAGGTATTCACCTAGACTGAGAATATCCATGTATTTTTCCTTTGATATTTTGATAGGCTGCAAGTGGAGCTTCTCGAGAGCCCCGACCCGTTCATTAGGAAGCGCCTTGCCAAGATCCACCCACCGACTTGGATGTTCGGGCACTAAGGACGTCTTAAATTCTATAACTGTACTAGCACGACTCACTCTCAGCCACTTGACCTCTGGCCATGTGAACGCTTCGCCATAGCAGTCAACTTCTCGGAATGAGTGAAGGTTGCACAGCTGAGAAACCTTCAGGAACCGACCCTTCATGTGGAGAACGTTGAATCGGCACTCCATCATGTTTAGTGTCCAATGGTCGTAATCATAAATATTTTCCTTAAGCTTCTTGCTCTTCTCAATTTTTGCAAAATCAGCATCATTTGGAAGGAGATTGTGACCAGACTCTAGAAATGTGTGAGTCCACGACTCGATGGAGCTTGTTCCGCACACATACATTAGAAGAGCAATAAATGTTTTCTTCCAGTTTGAACCTCCAAAACTGTCAGAGAACGAGCTGATGGCAGAATAGCTGTTTAAGGGTCGGCGATTGAGATATTCTAAAAGTGATGAAGCGACTTCATCACAGCCACATCTCCCATCCACTTCTGACCACATGGAAATGTATGAAGAGTTATCTCGTCGGTCGTTTATTCCGAGGTTAAAGAGCCACATCCTTCGTTTACACACGGCGATCGGCACGCTTAAATGAGGCAAGCATTGAGTTTTACCTAAGGAAAAAGTGAAACATAAATGCCGTGGATCAGAGCGAGCTATAGTTTCGCATTTTTTGAGAGCAGTTCGGGCCTCGGTTGTTTTCTGCTCATGATAATGAGACTCTTCAGCAAGTAGCACTCGCTCTTCAAAAGAAATACTGGCTTTACGCGTATTGCTGAATTTATCACACTTGGAGCAGCTGTCACTGTCAAATGAATATATTTCAATATTGTACCTCTTGAGTGCTTGGCGAAAAATGAACATACTTATGGAATTTTGAGGATATTCTTCACAAAACCTTTGATGCAGCTCTTTCTTTGTGAGATCTGAATGAAAAAACACCTTATCCCTCGAATGCATTGATTTGTACTTGGGAAATTTTGAGAGGAATTCGTATATTTTAGTGTAAGTTATATCAGGAATTTTATTGCCAGGAACTTTGCGTCCTCTCATATCTTGAATGAGGGAACCACAAGGAGCGGACTTAGCAGTGAGAAGGTAATCCAAGCGGCTTTGTGTGACGCAGAGCGTGTTAGCAAACGTCTTCTTGCAGACCCGTGTATCCTTGAGGTAATAGTGGACCACGCGTGTGCGGCGCTTCTTGGCTGCTGTCTTAGGGTTGTCTTTCACTGGCACCTGTAGAAGTAAATAAACAGAATATTGCCTCTATGTCTCAATTAATGAAGAAAGGTGTTAGCATTGATTTATTCCAAATCTGAATCATTGGGTGTGTATAAATATATAATAGTTTATTTCTCAAGTTCAAAAGCATAGAGCAAAAAATTAAACATGACACACTAGCAAAGTTATCTAGACGGGAATGAACAAATCCCACTATAGTATGAAAGTTAATACACTCACTTCAACCATGTGAGAACGAAGAAAGGCGCTCTGCACATCCCAGCTTCCCAAAAGCCAGAAATTCTCAAAAATTTCTTGTCTATCCTCCTCAGGAAGTGTGTGGCACTCATTTGTGCAGTAGCATCTCTCATACTTGAACGTTGCTGGTGGAACAAGCTTGCCTTGTCGTGATACATAGGACAATCCTCTCTGTCGCAGGAGTTTCCTAAAACTGCCTGGGTCAATGCTATCTTCATTATCTACTTCCTGCTCTATTTTTGGTGCCATGGCCATCATTGTCTCCATGCCAGACTTTGGGTCAAGCAAATGATACATTCCAGGAGCAAAGACCGTTCCACATGGAGTATTGTAATCATCTAAAGAGAACCAAAATCATTTCATTAACACAAGTCAAAAAGTTTCTATTGCTAAGACAATCATAATACTAAGTAAGTAAAAAAACAGGGATCTAATTTCAGAAACCATTATTAATACTTATTATCAGTGTAGGAATATGAATGATTGGTGTTACAACCAACTTTCTGTACATAATTTATGATACAATAAGATGCAAATGAATAAATAAATTCTCTTTTAGCTTTCAAATTGATACAGATTTTCAAGACAAAAAATTAGTTAAATAATACATTAATACAAGATATTCCACTTTGAATTATGATGCCAAATTTACCAGAAGATGTACGCAGCCCTGATGCAGATGCAACTGTACTAGCTACTCCACTGGATGCATTGCTTGAACGTTCCACCACACCTGCCATAAACAACTTGTTGAAATAATTGCAGAGCTTTATATGAAAAAAACATCCCTTATCATTTGATGGAGATATTCATCTAATATCAAGAAATGCCATAGCCTAACATCAAACTAAAATAATTATACTGAAAACAATAGAGTTCCTATTGTTTAACATATAAATAGGCTATGCTAAAATAAAAAGTAATGGGAAGAAATGAATTTTAACAAACAAGAAGTTTCATGATGGATAGATAATGAAAATGAACATTAATAAGTTATTTTTTTTCATTGCATTCATTTGTTTTTCATTTATAAAACTATACAATTTAATTAAATTGTTCTCCTGGCCCTAAGTTAGCAAAATAATTTAAAAAGTTTAACTAAAAAATATATAATCAGATCAAATTGCAGTACTCCATACATTATGATACATATAATGAAACACACTCAATTTCTATTTGAAACAACTTACCATGAGAAAATGATGAATTTTTCTTCATATTCTTCAACTTTTTATTTGCAGGGATTTTTTTTCCACGTTTGTCTGGAAATACAATACCATCTTTTTTCTTGACATCAATCAGGTATGATATCCTAGACATGGTAATACCAAGAGTTGTGGCAAACACCTTCTTGCAGACCTGGTAGTCCCCAAGGTAGTACTTCATGCTCTTAGTGCGACGCTTGTCTAAATCTGAACAGCGGTGGTTCATGACAGGACCCTAGCAAGACAAGGAGATAATAAACTATGATATGAATTTGTTAAATAGGCTACATATGTTTCATAATAAAATATTAATGGAATTATTAGCTAGCAATTGATTGGAACATCATGACCTAAGAGTGCTAAGACTGGATAGTAGTACTGTTTTATTAGTGTTAATGTTTATGATAAAAAAAATCATCCAAGTATTTGCTGAATAAAACTACATTATTCAATCAAACTTTTCAAACTCTGTATAATGTTGTTTACTGTTTACTAAACAGAAGCACTTTCTTTTACAATAATAAATAAAATTATACTAACCTCACAAATCAGAGATGAAATGAAAACACTTTGTTCATTCCAGGTTTTCATTTTAGTAAACTGTTCAAAAACTTTTCGTAGAGCATCTTCAGGGATTTTATCACAGTGAAACCAACATTTACAAGAAATTCTTTTAAATTCTTTGGGAGGTTGTTGCTCCCTCTTGAGTTTTTTCATTCTTTTCCCCGTAGCCAGTTTTCCTTGAAGCTTTCGCTTGCTTTGATGTTTTCCATCAAGTGGACATAGTTCAACAAATTCTTTAAGAACATCTCGTTCAGCCTCAGCTAGTTCATCATTCATAGGAATTGCTGATAATGCATGAAGGTGATTGCCTTCTATATCCACGGTGGTATAAAAACTTCCCGCCTCACTCATGCTCTTTTCTGTCAAGCTGCTAAAAATTTTTTTCTTCCCAAAGTTTACTATGCGAGTGTGCCCGGAAGCTCATGTTTGTTTGTATTTACTATCCGCATTAACATTTTCGGTGCTGCGGTGAATCAAAATTCTTCCGTCTTGAGCGTTTGCAAAAACTTTTGGAATTATTTTCCTGCTGATGTAAAGAAAATAGTATCAAATCAAATGAAAAAATTAATATTATATTCTAGATCTATTTCATTTCATTACCATTTGAAGTTCCATTTCTTTTCAAATCCATTTCGAACGTAACGTCGAAATGAGTGATGTATTTTTCTGCCTAATATTTGTAGTCTATTAGTATTTCGAGCGTTTAATATTATCTGAAACTACTGAGAATTAACCCCATGAGGCAGTCCATTACTGTCCATAGACGTCTCGGACAAATTTACGGCTGATCTCGAAATTCAGTGAACAAAGAATATCTCCTAAAGTAATGAACGTAACTCTATGAAACTGGTGCACGTATTCATTAGGACCAACGGTGATGTTTAGCTCACGAATTTTTTAATTTTACTTCATTCGTGAATTATATGGCGATACGTGCCGAAATTCGCACTTGGAATTGGGTGCGTACTGAACTCCGGTCACGACCTCTAGGACCCTCTCACACAGGGCAGTAAATACCGCCAGCTTCCGACGGTATTTACCGCCGGACCTTAGCGGACATACGAAATGTGCACTGCTGTTCACACATGACGGCTTCTACCGCTGCGTAGAATTTGACGCCTGACGCCCGTGTTGGGGTTTTATTTGCCACTCCACATTAAGTTAATAACTCCAATCAGGAAATTGAATGGCCTAGCTAGTTAACTTGAATTATTCGCCAAGGGACAGACAGAAACATAGGGATCGGCAGAACGAATTTGGTTGAGAAATGAACACACAATTAATTGATGAGTTTTATTTATTTGGCATAGCTCACGTGACCTGTTCGGTGATGTGGTGATGAAGATGATGTGCTCGGCTTGGTGATGTGCTCGTGGTTGCGTGGCGAATTCAGACACCGTGGTGAAGTTATCCGGACACGATATTGAGGCTCGCAGTGACACTGAACTGCTAAACTGATTGTTCCAGAGATACGTTCACTGAATGAAAGTTAATCAGGTAGTTAACTGAATTGGTTCACTGAATGAAAATTAATGTAATAGGTGCACAGCAAGAATTCACTAGGCCTTGAATGAATGTTGCCATCGACTGAGCTGCTCTCTCCGAAACTCACGTGACGATGTTATAATTATTTAATATGATTTAAAATGTACGACTATAATGTATATTGTAAGTATTAATATTAATGTTAGTACAAGAATCATGAAACTTAGTTATAGTGTGCTAGTTTGAGAAACATAAAAATTAGAGATATGTTATGCATAATATAAGTGCTATGTAGCGAGATCCGCTACACCCGCGTGTGTACTGCTAAAACTGCGGCGGTAGATTTGCCGCGACAGTTTAGCTTGCAATGGCATTAAATGCAATCTTTCACACTAGGCGGTTTTTGACGCAACATCCTAGTGTGGTACAGACAATGGGGCCGTATTTTAGGTGCAGAATAAACAGCACTACAAGACTGATAGATTATAGACTTATATTGTTACACAAATATCGGTTCATAAATATTGCTACATAAACATAGAGATATACATTGATATATATATATATATATATTTATAGAAAGTGATAGAGACATAATTCATAAAAGATATATTTTCCATACAATATATAGGTTTTTTCATAGAGATGTATTTAGATTATTCTCACACAGAGATATATTTTCATATATAAATATTGTTACATAAACATAGAGATGGACTGTTGGTGCAGAAAACTGCAATACAAGACTGATAGATTCCAGCGTTAAAAAGCGCCTCGTGTGAAAGATTGAGCGGTAAATACTGCCGCGGCATTTTGGACGCGCGCGGTATTTGCCGCCATGCGTGAAAGCTGCTTTACATCGGTCACACACGCTGCATAAACGCTCTTTTACCAGAGTAAAAATGTAAAGTTCACAATCGTATGTTAACAAAAAGTTCAATTTCTTAAACGTATTCACAGCGACCATAAAAAAACATTACGTTATGCAACACGCCAACACCCATAACAAGACATTTTTTCCACAGTACTGAACAAATTTAAACGAAATATTTAATATACATTCCAAACTATCCAACGGTGATGTTTAGATCGTGAAAATTTTTAGATTTTGCCTACGTTCGCGAGTTTTTTTCATATCAGCCTCATTCGTGATTAAAACAGCAATACGTGCTTAAATTCGCAGTGAACAAGAAATTTTTTCTAAAATACTGAACAAATTTGAGCGAAACTTTGTATATAAATACCTTACCTCCCAACGCAACGGTGATGTTTCCGTAGCTCGTGACAATTTTTTCGCTTTTGCCTTCGTTTGCGAGTTATACGTATATACGGAAAAACGACCTGCAATTCTGAGGCCAATATTCAAATTTCCAGTGACCAAGAGCTGTGTCACGGCTATTGGTAATTATGCCATATCTGCCAAGACAGCTGATCTTGGGGCCGTGGGCATAGCTGCATAGGACTTGGAAGAGTAGATCGTAATTTTAGTCAATTATCATGTTTAGTGCGTTTGAGGCTTTGATTGAGTCAATGGCTGCCCGGCATCCTTCTGCAAACATATGATTATCCTCCGCCGGCTCCGCGATTCACATAATGTTAAGGAAACGCATAGTAGTTATACTCATAGTAATGCTGAGTGTGGGACTGCAGCCGTGCACCACCAATTTTGTGCACCAATAAGCCCTGAATCGAACGCCTTAGATCTCTCCGGACGTCCACCAATCAGCCGTGAACCACTCGGCTTTCGAATATGACTTCGGGCTTCGTTAAATTACGTTATTTTACGTTCACCGCATCTGAGGTTAGGTTTCAGATAGCATAGTTCTCTTCCAAAATTTATCGTCCTTCGACAAGTGGCCGTTCGACCGAGGGCTGGTTCGACCCACGGCCTAGATACGGACGGCTTGAAGTATTGAAGGCTACGTTCCGGAAGGCAGGAATCATGATGGTCCATTACATCCATGTCTCTTATACACATCTAGATGTGTATAAGAGACAGGTCACTCACTGCAGAGAGTACTGAGTTATATTTTT